CTTTCCACAGACAAGTAGCGTGACAAAGAGACAACTGAATGATACCTGGTGCAGTCGAATAAATCTGTCTTACTATGTGTTGAAAATCTAAATTCTGTCAGAGGGATGAGATATTTCCTAATTTAACCACTTCTCAGGTAACAATGTATTGACTGTAAGCAGAATGATAAGTCCTAAAAAAACAGTAAACCTGCGGCAAGAAAATCCCTCAGGCTAATCAACTTAGATTGAGCAGAAAGAAAACGATCTCACCGTACAAAGCAAGCAAATACTAAAATAAACTAATACATATATATATATATATATATATATATATATATATATATATATATATAAAAACTAAACTAGATCTCAATCAATGTTTCCTGCTGTGCAGCAGCAGCCACTTTGGTCTACAGAGATTTACAACTGAATCTGTACATTCTCTTTTCTTCATTCGGCAAATGGCAGCAGTGTTTAGGTTGTGTATTAACGTGGGTTTTCAGCACTCTTCCATCGAGAGGAGTAGACGTGATGCTCTGATTACAGGGTACAGCTTTTACACACAGTCCTTCATAGCGCGGCGCGGGGACTCACCTTTACGCACGGCGAGCTCGGTGACACACACGCTGCCACTTAATGACCGTTGAAGCCCGGTGGGGGGTGCGAGCAAGCGACTCTGGTCGCTGAACTCTATTAGTGTGGATTGCCAGATCAGCTGAAGGCCCGCCGAAATCTATGAGAAGTAACACCCGACCGCGGCTCTGAAACGGCGACTCCGTGTTGCTGAGTTGTTGCTGTTAAAAGGAAGATCTTGGGAAATGTGTTTGTTAGATTGCGAGAGGGGAGTGATTTGAAGGAATGGCCAAAGGCAGTTCAGCTTAGCGCAAATAGCTGGAAACGGCTAGCTGGGCTCTGAGCGAAGGCTAAAAATAAAAAATGCCAAAAAGCCTGTTTCTATAAACGGCCGCTTTGGATTGAAGGTTCAGAGCCTCACAGAAATGATGGCGGAGAGAAGGAAGATGTTGGTGAGCTGGAGGAACCATAAAGATTAAGAAAAGGATGGAGAGTAAGCGCTCACGGGGGTCAGCTCGGCTGGTGTTCGGTAGCCTCCTAAAAGCACCGGTGGGGACGAGAAAAGCTTTTAGAGACACAAGTACGGTTTCAGCTTGCATGTGTCCCGGAGAGCTACGCTTCAAAAAGGAAAATCAAAGTAGTGAAGCTCGAGGTCGGGCGAGGGAGCAGAAAGCTCACCTGAAAACAGCGGCTGCAAACACTCTAGGGGGATTCTGCCCGGTAATCAAGAGAATAAATACCCATCATGTGTGGTGATCCTGTGAAACAGCGATTATCATGAAAGTTACCGCAGGTCAGGTGATCGCAAGGCCCTCGTTGTCGCTACTCTAAAAATCCCCCTCTTTGTTTCTGTTTCTTCAAAAGCCTTTTTTTTCCTGAGCTGTCATGAAATGTGAGAAATTCTCTTTAGGGGGATGAATTTTCCCTCCAAGGGGTTTGATCACTGTAAGCTCCTCCAAAAACGTCTCTGCCAAAAATTCCTGAAGTGTGCTGCCGTGACTCAGACACAGAAGTAGGACACCAGTGAGTCACCCTGGCAGCCCGCCGGAGGCTAAAATGCCAGATCTATTCTCCGGCCTCGGAGACGCACAGAAGCCTGCTGTTTTCAACCAGCGGACAAACTGCTCCGTGACCTTCAACTGTGCTAAAATATCACCGAGACACTCAATCATGAGGAATAGGATTATGGCTTATGGCAAAATACAATATACAGAGACGGAACACTTTCACGGAAATGACCTCTCTCTAATGTGACTTTTGACATGTTGTGTTATGTATTTCGGGAACTACCAGGACCTTTCATGTACACTGTGGTTCATGCAAACTGATCAAAGCGGAGCTTCAGCTAAACATTATACCGTCAATAGTTCGGCGCGCCCCTCTCTCTGCTTATCGGTAATAAACACAAGTGTAGGCTAGCGTGAGCTTAAGGGAGAAAGCACTGAAGCTCTTAAGATATCACGATTTATGAGTAATGTAAGCATATTGTTCCCCAAGCCGTTCAGGCAGAGTTCCTGGAGTCGTGAAAGCCGCGTAGCTTCGATAAAATGTGCTCTACAAGGAAAAACAAAGCCTATGAAAAAAGGATTTTAATCTCGGATTTGGCAACGAAAGTGAACAAAATAAAATAACCACCTGGGCTATTTGACAGAAACGCAAAGTAAAGAAAAGGGGAGGCAACAACTGTTTTAACACGGACGGCAACCACAGCTCCAGTCGGCCAACTCAAGAGGTTTGTTTGACAACAGCGCACTCAGAAATGCATCTGCAACCGGTCCTCGGGACAAAAGCTGGAACCAATTCAATGTGCAGGCTAACTAAGTACAGTATTCTCTAGCCGCCTCGCTAGTTTCCTCCCCTGCATCTGTTTCTTTTCCGTGCGTCTGGTTTATTGACGACAGCGTCTCCAGCGCCGCAGAAACACAAACAAGTAGTCAGAGAGATTTAAATAAAGTAGATTGGAAAAGTGAAGTAGAGAAACTAAAGACAACGTGCGTTGATGAACGGGGGGGTTGAGAGCGCTGAATGGAACATAAAAACAGCCGTGCGTCCACGCCCGGGTTTTTAACCTCTCCCGCCGAGCCGCCCGCTCGTCGTCAGAGGCGCTGGTTTCTCCCCGAGCCGCGCCCCTCTGTGCCGGCTGACGGGGTGCCGAGGGACGCTCCGCCGGGCCTGTTTTCAGTCAAGGATGAACCAAACGAGGAGAGGAGGAGGCGCTCGGCGGAGGAGTGACTCACCGATACCAATAATAGCGGGTAATAAATAGAACGCAGATCAAAATGCCACCCTGAATACTTGCCTGTTACAAAAGACAGAATAATGAGGCGAGCGCACAGTGGGATGCGGGGCTGTGAGTGGAATTACGTGAGGAAAACCGGGGTCCGATATAGATAACAAACAGCATTGTTGTAGGAATGCATGGAAATAGCCTGTATGAAAAGCATCTAAACATGGAAGCACACCAACGGTTTCTGCATTCACGTAAAATCTGGAGGCAACAGGGCAATTTAGCGATTGACTGGCTGTCAACGGACAAAGATTTACTTGTTTGGAATAACTTTGTAAACCGAATAGCGTCTTCTTCCTTCTCGCCCTGGACATCGAAAGTCAACTTGTGTGCAGGTGTTTGTGTTCCTCATGTCAATGCTGAACGGTGGCAATCAGTTCTCAATTCCGTTCTCAGTGAGAAAAGGTTTGATGATATTCCATTATAGTTTCACCCCATATGAGGACTTGAAAGGGCCAGATTGGACAAAAATCAATCAATGCCAAATTCTAAAGCCAACTAGGAACCCCTGATGAAAAAAAGACCTTACAGACTAAGCACAAACTCTCCTCTTCACTAAACTCCCCCGTTTGCATACGAGTTCAGCGGGACAGATTCTGACGATAGCTGGAAATTGACTCGATCCAATTCACAAAATTGATCACGGGTGGATCTGACATCCCCTGCAGGAACTCTGACACAATAACAACAGCATAACCACGTTACCTCCTAATAGCCCTTTAATGGTGAGACGGTGACACATTACCCCACCATCTCCGCTCACTTTGTCTTCATCTTCCTCGCTGTTCACCGAGTGTTGTTCCCAACCTCCCTTCATTTAGTTTTAAATATTAAGTGTAAATCACACTATGTGGAGTAGATACATTTGAAACAGAAAAATGCAATAATATTCAACAAATGGCCGTAAGACAGATGGTAGTTTCTCCCGTTAAGCAGATCGCATTCTGTTTGTCCCCCTCCCTAAATTTCTACACCTTGGTGCATATTAGTTCCATCACACATCTCAGGGGGACGATCCAAACGGGGGCTTGTCGGCTGTTAGGGGATCGACCGAGCTAAGCGAAGGAGGCGTCGGCCGATCGATGCGGGTGTCAGTCGGGACGCGGAGCGGTGACAGCCGACCAGACGGGGCCGGCTCTAAATTAGGAAGTAGGGGAGAAAAACCGGAGGTAATTTGTGGCCCATTTCAGCCTCTCCGGGTCACCCGGACAACGACTTTTCAGTCTCAAGCTGTTGGCGAACGGCTTATTCTGGGTAGAACAGTGACGTCATCTTGTTGTTGGGTGGATATAATCTAAGACGGGACACATTAAAACCAATTAAAGCTTGTTTTTTTTTAAGCCTACCTGAGGAAGTTTAAAATAGGGTTGGATTAATCCGTACTTTTGATCCCCAAGTACAAATACCGTAACTTAACCTAAGCTCAGGCCGTTAAGTCCAGACCCAAATCCAGTGTTACACCCCCCCCCCTCGACCCCCGAGGGTTCCAGGAAAACTATCATGCAGGATCTCAAGACAAAATCGCTTTAACGAGACGAGATACAGATGCAAAAAGGAGAAAGCGGTGCACGAGGTGTTCTTCTGGCAGCTGAGAACATCTAAATTTAGACACGCAACTCGTCTCCCCCCCACCCCAAACCTTTGTGCTGCCGTCCTCGGCGCGAACGCAGAGACATGAAAGACCTCATGGGGGAAATATCGACAGCTCTCTCCCCATCAGACAAGTGTCAGCCGTGTGTGTGTGTGTGGCGTTGTGTACTTTTGCACCAGCAGTAGGAAAAGACAAAGACGGGTAATGATGCAAGATAATGACGCAGTGTTTGAGTGTGTGTGCGTGCGCGATTGTGCATGTGAACCCGGGTTCACCGCCTGTCAGCCAAACGGTCACCATGTCCGAGTTGGTCCCGTTGTGTTTATTCTCAAACGCCGGCTACCTAAAGCCTGAAGTTGTGCGAGGAGTTCAGATCGCCGAAAGCTGCAGGGAGTCGCTTTCCTACGAGGAAAACGGGACATTTTTTGTACTGTAACTGAGGCGTTTGAATACCCCTTTGGAGTGGACGCTGACGCTAACGTGCAAAGAGTGAAACAAACACTGTTCTGTACGGGAAAACATTTGAACAATATAAAGAAAAACAGATTCTTATCATAGTCAACTGACCTTGCTGGTGGAGCTGCTGTGTGCTCTTGCTCCACTGCGACAACCCCACGATGGCCACCATCTTGGCGCCCAGACTGGAGCGCCGCTTCTTGTTGCCGGCCAGCGAAGCGGAGTCCGGGCCCCCGCCGCCGGGACTCTTCTCCAGGCCGTACATGGCCCCCGAGATGCTGGAGGAGCGCACCACGTTCCGAGCCGCTGCCGCGCTCAGCCCGCTGAGACCGCCCATCCCGCCCGGGCTGGGAACCTCCACAACGGAGCTGCTGAGCATCATGGTCCCACACAGGTGGAGGGCTGGGGAGGAGGAGGGAAGGGGGGGTGAGATAGACGGACCGAGGCCTGAGGAGGGGAAAGAGGAGAATAAACAGAAAAACAGACCTTCAGGTGTAAGTGGCTTGAAGGACATTTTCCAGCCATAAAAGACAAATAAGGAGAGCAAAGATCTGAGAAATGCTGCGGCTCCCCGACGAGGACGTGAGTTAAGACACACACACACACACACACACACACACCGTGATGAAGCACAGGCTCCGGCTGATGGTGGACTGACTCCTCGGGAGTATTCGGCTCACAAAGCTCCGGCGGTCACAACGACATTTTGGTGAGAGAAGCAGAAGTTTTTTTTATAGGGGTGTAACGATTCATCCACTGAATCGATTAATCGATTTATATTCTTGCGATCCAACTGAATCGACCTGTGCTCCGCAAATCGGTATTCCGGACGACATAAATCGATTACAAATCGATTGAAATGGTACATAAATCGATTGTATCGATACTTGGAAACTGCACATTGGATTTAAGTACAAAAACGGTATGAATGAGTGTGTGTTTGTTTGTTTGTTTGTTTGTTTTTTAGCACTTTAGACACGTTAATTGTTACTCATTTCAGTCTGCCTGTCTGTGACGTCATCAGTACGCAGCGGCAGCCGCGCGAAACTCGGAACAACAACAAAACACAGCGTGGAGGAGACGACTGCGAGCGAGACATTTACAGACCAACTTATCGATCCAGCGTGTGGAAACATTTTGGCTTTTGCAAACACGGAGGTGTTCTAAATAAGTCGGTCGCTGTTTGTAGAATATGTAGAAGACAAATAAAAAACCACGGAAACACGACGAATACATTTGCCATTAATTGTTGTTCGCTTGTTTATAATATCCATAATTAATTAAAACCTGATTTCCTTACAAGAAACAACAGGGATCTCGGAAACTTTGCCTGCACTGTCCAGTAAAGTTACTGAATTGAATCGTTCTAAATTAACCCAGATCGTCAATGAATCGAATCAGCAACCATGAATCGCGATTCGAATCGTTGTTAAAATGAATCGTTACACCCCTATTTTTTTAATAATAATAACTCAATGACTGCTCCGATAGATGCATTTAAGCCCTGACAGCGGGACAGACGGCCATCATGCAGCCACCGTTGGTTGAATCATTTGCAGCTGCGCTTCTCCTGATGCGACAGGTCAAAACTTCGCCCCCTCCTCCCCTTCCCTTCTCTCCTATCCCCTTCTCTTCCCGAGCTTCAGAGTGATTATGCTGAGGCTGAACACACAGCCCGAGAGCACATTAAATGTGGAGACGCACGGTGTCCAACATCCTTTCACACGCATTGTATTTCTTTCCTCAATACTTAACTCACACCATATAACTTCAATTTCGTCCTCTCTAAAAAAAAAAATACAGCAATGCAGTATTTTTGCAGCGCTTTGCGAGGAAAAGTCCGGCGCGGCCGGTAAAGTTCATGTGCACATTTCACCCCTAAGAGATGTTTACAAAGACAATGCAAAATGTGCATCGGATATAACATTTAGCATATTTATCATCTGTCTAGTGTGCACGCATACACTTGTTAAATATCCAAAGCTGCTACAGGTAAGGACGATAGGAATGTTATCCCACGCTTTTCCTGCTCTGTGTGTGGTTCTTCTTTTCTGACTTTTACCTCAACAATATTTACAAAATGAAGCATTTAACTGTACCTACTTTAGTCTTAATGGAGTGGGGAGACTTTTGTACCTCCTGCATAGACATATTTCCCATCTCACTTTGCCTCTGAATGCCATCTCTGCACTCGGGTGACTATAAGACGGCAGTTTTACATCATTCACCATCAAGCGCAGGAAACGGTGCTCAAATTCTTCCACTAAAAACACTCACTCCCGTGACTGGAAGTCATAAATAATACACATGCACTACAGAGAATTTGCCCTCGACGCAACTTTCAAATTGAAGACGTAATTCCCTTGTGCTCGGGACGTCTCCGTACATCATCGTCTGCGCTCTGCTATGTCACGCCACCGCACTCCGTGGTGCTTCTGGACCCAGAACGTGTTGTTGTTGACCCTCAGCGTGGATTTTATTTAGCCAAAACACAACAAATGGTGCTGAGGAACGTTGTAACGGATGTAGGAACATTTTGTAATGAAAACGTGTAACAGCCCGAGAGGAACACTGCATGCTTTGTAGAACGCTACCGGCTGTGGAGGGGGAAAAACAAGCGAGGGGAGGCGGGGGCTTTAAAAATGCAAAATTCAGCTGAGCCTTTATGCGCTTTTACTCCTATTTTTTCTTTTTATTTTGCATTCCCTCTCTCCCCCTCTCTTCTATTGCAGCCCATGCACACTTCTCTCCAGCTCTGCTGGACCACTGCGGGAGATTTGGGAGGAGAAGACGCTTCATTATGAATCGGCAAAAATGGGAAACAACTGCAGGATCTGTGAGAAATAAAGTGAGAGAGCGAGGATAGTGTCTTACTGATGACATCCTCAGGCTGTGTGTGTGTGTGTGTGTGTGTGTGTGTATGTGTCTCGCACCAAAGTGAAATGGGGTGAACTTAAGTGTACTGTATATAACATGTATATATATATAATTTGCCCAGATGGCATGTACACTGACAAGAGACATTGGTAATTGGGTTTAAATTGAATCTCTTTTGTCAGATAAAGATGCATTAAAGTAAAATAGCATTAAAAAAGTATCTTTAGATTCCATCTTGTGTGAAATGCAGAGCGTATAAATCAGACTACCAAAAGAAAATGTGAGTCCTCATGGAGTACCCTTCATCAACAGTGGGTAAACCGGCTGTAGTGGTGCCATCATGCTGGACATAAACAATAGTTGTGTATTTAAAAAGAAGAAGAAGAAGAAAAAAAACGCCACGTGCATTTGTTTTTCAACCGTACCATACTCTCCACGCTGAGTGTTGCCGGACGGGAAAAAAAGCACAACCAGCAGCCCATCAATCTTCATTTATGTGCCAGACAGCTTCTCCGGACTTCTCATCTGAGGGCTCATTTATTTCTCCCCCTGTCAGCACACCATCGGCCTCCGCCCGGAACCGCCGGTGGCGATCGGCTGCTCCTCGGCGCCCCGGACCTCTGCTGCATAGAGGGACCCGGAATTCTCCTCCCCGTTTTCAGTTCGACACTGACGCAAAGAAGCTGACCTCTGCTTTGAGTTTTATCGCATAAACACAAATGGCAAACAAGCTTGTAATTAGATACGGCTGAGTGATCCATCAATTGATCGGTTTAAAGTGCCTCCTTCACTCAGGCCACACGGCCACCGTCGGTCAGCTAATTAATCCACAATTTAGCGGCAAAGCTGATGGTAAAGACGTCCTGTCAGCCCTGACTGTAAATCGCCAGTAAGCAATTCATATAAAGTCAAACTGATCAGTATATCAACGCGGTTTAGTTTTGTACTTATAGAACACACTAAATGTTTTTATGTGTGGTTGCTGAAGAATACGTTTTTCCCCCAAAAAAATTAACCAGCACTGGTCATCATTGATATGCTCCAACGTCAAGACATTCAAATTAAATGAGATGCTGGGAGTCCGTGTGTGTGGCTACCTGAATGTGTTCACCACAAACAGCCGATGTGTCACTATTCATTTGATTAAGGCCATTGTGGCTGAAACAATCGTGTTCTTAATTGAATTAATGAGCTTATACTTTTCTAAGGGCTAAACAACATCTACACCCCCATTAGTTAGGTGTGACTTACACCTGTTAGTGTGTGTCCAACTACGGTGACTCCCTGGTAATTGATGTCAAAATGTCCTGTATCCTTTAGGACTTTGAATATAACGAGGTTTAAGGAGGAGGTAGCCTAGATTATTAAACTATGTTTCCTCAGCAGAGAGAAAGGTGATCATACATGTAACTATGTATATTGTCGACGGATAGATTTCACATGTTGTTCATATGCAACATGCAAAAATGAAAAACATAAGCGTGAGCTGACGGCAGTGCACGCCAACAGGCAGGAGCTGTAACGCACTTCCTGTGGAGGCTCCCGTGGATACAGCCCAGATCGTGGTACTGTATGAGGCGGCACCTGCTGTCATTGCGTTGGACCCGGTGTTGTGTGTGTGTGTGTGTGTGTGTGTGTATGTGTTTGTGTGCGTTGATGCATCTCTCTGATCATAAGAGGTCTCTTTAGGAGAGAAAACAGAAGGGCGGCTTTGTAGCCACACACACACAAACACACTCACACACACATACAGAGTAAAGAGTGCCAGGCTGGTGGGCCGGCTGAGAGCCAAATGGATCACACACAAAAATCGCACTCAGAGCGAGCCAGCGTAGCGCAGACACACACACGCTGGACTGAACGTACGTGCCAGAGTGGCAGGAGAGGAAGCCGAAACGTTGAACTCGGCCGGTGGACTTGAATCGACACCCGAGTCTCCAGCGGGACACGGAGGCTCAGATCTGATCTCTTGTCATCACATTGGCAAAGACAGAGCAGCGTATCGGGAGGATAACAGACCAGATACGCTCGAATCTCCGTAATATTCACAAATGTCCCATTTCACACTGTCCAGAGTAATTGAATGCCCCGTGCACACACACACACACACACACGGATACGATGCCAAAGGCCGTGAAATGGACAGAGAGGGGAGTATGTAGGGAGCTTAAGCTTTACTTCACACCTATTGGCCCAATCAAACGTTTTATCCAATAAAATCTTTAACGAGGGGATTCATTTAGTCGCTCCGTGTGCATCACCTTGTGACAGCGGACGTAAATTCAATCCGTCACACCGCGTTCTCAGCCTGATTGCATGAATCGGGTGCATCAGGGTAAAAAAAAAAAATGTCCGAAGTTGTTTAAAAGATTTATTTTGTATTGAAATGCGCAGTTAAAATCTGCGACGCACACCTGTAACCTACAATGGAAGTAAACACAAATGAGCCATGACGTCTTCCCAGGTAAAGGTCGCTGCTACTTGACTGGAAGGTAAACGCACAGGAAGGTAAATAGAAGATAAAACGTCCATTTCTAATTCAAACAGAACTGATTAAAATACCAAATGGACGCCTACTCGATTTACACGGGACGTTATGACGCCAGAACCACCGCTGGCTGGGTTTTCCTGCATCCACACAGGTGAAAGGTGAAAGAGCATCACAACCACATCATGTTAATGATGCCCCGTGATCATGACCTCTTTTCTACAAATTGACTCTTATTTTTGTAGCCTGGACTGTAATGACCGGTGGTTATGAAAATATGGTACTGGCACTGCAGAGATCATGGCAGACAGCAGCATTTCTACAACAGAATCTGACTGAGCAGATTAGAAACACGCTAACAACTTGGCGTCCACACCCCCATTGGACGGTCCTCTCCTCTGCAACATTGCTGCATTCCAAGATCTCGGCAACTAACAGTGTGGAACTTTTAAGTGAAAGTGAGACCTCCCTCCCTCGTATCGTCACTTATCCCCCGGGCAGCGGTCTCACCAGCTCAAATAGGATTGCTCTCTCTGCACACCTCCGCGGGGGAACCTGGCGTGAAAATGAGACGCACTGTATCACTGCGCACTACACCGACTGCTTGGAAAATAAATAATCCCCTTCCTAACGGTTTCCCCCCCGCGGCGCTCCAACGGTCGGCCCCTAAGCTCTCGACTCCCATCAACCGCCGTCCGGCACTGAACAATTCTCTTTGTGCCCTCTTCTCCTTGAAAGTGGGTTAAGAAGGGCGTGATGGAGGAGACTTGGGAGGGACTGCCTGACTCGCGGTGGCTGGGAGGGTAGGGGGGCGAGGTGGTGGAGGGGGGGGGGGGGGGAACACACTGTCCCTCACACCACTTACCCAGTCTGGATCACCGGGTTCCAGCTCGGGGCTGAGGCAGGAGCTGAAACAGGCTTTTGGGAACAGGGTCGAACCGGAGGTGTCCGCCCCGTCTCACGCAGTGCGAGACCTCCGGGAGGAACGCGAGCATCGGCACGCAGTCAGACCCTGAGGGAGGGCGAGATAAGAGCCGTGTGTCTCTCTCTCGCTCTCTCTCTCTCTCCGCTAATGTTTTTTAGATCTCCATCGTAGGCTTTCAAGGTTTTACTCGCCCATCTTCCTTTCATGTATGTGACCTCATTTCTGGAGTGGTTTTCATGTCCGAGTGTTGGAATATTACAATGGAATATTAATTAGTTGTTGTTATTTGCCGTATAATATACTTACTCGCCATTTACTTCAACTTTGAATATAGTGTGAAAGATGCCTGCATTTGCAAAACTGTTCTCAGTGTCTGTTTCAAATCTGTTGTTCTTCCTGCAACCATCACCGTGACGTGGTTGGACAGCTACAGATTTTTTTGATGCATAGTATGGTGAAGTCCTCTAACCGTTGTCATCTCTTTTTTTTTTGCATAATCTCTTTCAGCCTCGTAGACGGGTTTTGGGTTCACAGGGAGGGAGTCTCGTCCGTATGATGGAGGTCACCTTTGGGTGCAGCAGCAGCTTTTACACGCGTATCAGGTGTCGAGTGGAATTGATTTTCTGGAGACCGGCCGATGCCGAGTCCAACACAGCTCGGTAAAAGCCCAGCGGCATTCAACCGGATGACCTCCCGACCGTGTAATGCAAAACAAAAACTTAAAAAATAAAAGAGAGACCCTCATCTTTTATTTGATTCAATCTGAAAGCGCAAAATAATCCCGAACAAGACGACCGAATCTCATTAGCAATCAGAGTTTGAACTGGGAAAAGAGCCGCGTATTATCGACCAACCACAGCTGCTTTCTTTGATGATCCGCGCCAGTTGGCCGAGGGGATTCTGCCTTGCAGACGGTCAAGTGCGCACAACAACACGCGCAGACACGCATAAAAAAAAAGGTGCAGCATCTTTAAAGAAGACCAGGCCCAGCAGCGGCCAGCTACCCGTCTGAAGTGTGTGCGTGCGTATGGGAGTCTGTGTGGGTGGGCTGCATTGGACTTTGCCTTTGCCCTTTCTGGCTATCAATTTTAGATAAGTATGTGTGTGCATGTGAGCAGAGACTCTTTGATGGAAGATGATACAGTGCACAGCAGTCAGCCTGGCCTTTTCGAGAAGCCAGCTCACCCGATATGATCTGACTGAAACACACACACACAGGCAAATATAGTTATGCCCTGGTAAATATGTCAATAGGACAGGGCTTTGCTTGCGGCACGGCTGTATTTCCAGAGTCCATTTTCAGCTTTCACCGTCTCTATGGATTATTCAGAGAATGAAGTTCGAATGGATGATTATTTGGCGTATTTGTCGTCGGCCAAGGAGGGCACGCTCCTTCATGGCCAGTTAAGTGTACTCACACAGTGCTTTTCACTGTGAGCATGAAACATGTGGGGGACACATTAACCAGCTTTCAGACTGTTGGATTCTCTTCACAGGAAGACACGGGAGGCACAGGCCCCTCACTACAGGTGGAGAGTACAGGTTTGAGCCAAGATCTGCCATCTGATCCAATATCACACCTCAGCATGCACCCGATCTGACCCGAGTTCTGACTAAGGACCTGCATTTATTTATCTCCTCCACCCTCACTGTCCCCCTCGCTCACACCTACAAACGCAATCGTAGCATAGCTGATGATTCCTAAATCACTTCTATGCATTTGATTGCTCCGTGCAACCTTAATCTAAATTGAAGATCCAAGTTGATTACTGACGAAGCTGAACTTCATCAGTCCCCCTACAAAGCAAAAAGTGTTTTCACAGACATCCAGTAACGTCTTAAAAGCTCCCAGAGGAGCGTATTTAACTGTCCAAACATGTAGCGCCTCGAGAAACGTAAGCACCAACAAGAAGAGAAATAAAGTATTTAGGTCAGATTAAAATGACCACACCGGCAGCCTTAATGGGCATTATCTCGTCTATAGCTTCCCCTGTGACCACAACAAATCCTTTAAACACTTAACGAGGTATAACGCATGAAACATCTTCGCATTACTCGACTTCCAATGCAACAAAAAAGGTGATTAAACAGTCAACACACACACACACACACCTCTGGTCACCGATCATGTGCTATTAATTGGTGCTAAAATGATTTGGAGCATCGGTGTGCGGCAAGTAAGCTGCACTGACATTCCTGCAAATTAAATAAATAAATAAATGAATGAGAGGAACCTGAGCACTTACCGGATGCAGCAGGGAGCGGCGGAGGCAAGGCGCGGGCTCGGAAGTTGTCAAATAACAGTTTGCGTCTCTCGTATCTGTAAGAAGGTCATCGTGTGTTTTGGGGGGTTGGTTGTCGCGGTGCAGGACGGCTGGTTCGTCCGACTGTTTGTTCTCCTCTCGGTGCTGCTGGTCACAAGGCGTCCGAGGCGCGCTGCTGTGGATGAGGAGACGATAGGAGGAGGAGGAGGAGAGGAGAGGAGGAGAGGGAAGATGAGATTATGCCGGGTGGATTTCTGCAGCATGGCAAACAGCGACAGCGTGTGGGGGAGAGAGAGGGAGAGAGGGGGAGAGAGAGAGAGAGAGACGTTCTGGTAAATTACAGCGATAAATGTGATGAGCGAGACGTTGACTCTTGTGCTAACAGTAGTTTAGCATCCCCAGGTTTGCTGCAATTAAAAATAAAAATGTGTTGAAAGCAACGTTACGTCCAACGTGGGCTGAATCACCCGCTCATCTTCGCTTGGTTAAAATAAGTTAAACGTGTTTAAAACTGGAGTATGGTGTCGTCTAAACGCGGCGTACTTAAGCGTTTTAATGTGGTGTTTAAGACATCGTTATACACTTTGTTCGCTATTTTTCTGATAATGACATCTCTCCTGTGAACTATTAAGTTAACGTTATTGGATGACGCGACAGCTGGTTAGCACCTAGTTAGCTTCCTTTAGCAAAGACTGGCTACAGAAAGAAAATGCTAGCCTCGTCAATGGTTAATACAATAAAATATTTAAATAAGTTTCATACAGTTATTATTGATGGCACGGCTCTCAATGTCACTGGTTCGTAGGAGCGAACTTTAACTAAAAGTGGAGGCTGCGACGTTAGCTCGATGCTACATCTGACAGCGCTGCAGTTAACGGGCTAACGTGAAGTTATTTCCAACGAACGTTAAGTTAGCTACTAACGAGCTACTAGCTTGTGAACAGTCGAGCAATTGGCAGCTAAAGAAACGTGTCCTCCCCCCAGGAGTCTATATAAACAGTTGAATAGAGTCTAAATACTGGACTTACATTTTACGGGTGAACCGAAAAATGCATTTGCCTCATTAGGAGTGGAAGTGATAAAAGTAGTTACAATACTTACAATATTACAATATGTCAACGCTGTGCTCACGCAAATTGTTTCCTCTGCCCCCAAGTGGCCAAGAAACACATTTCAGTTCCGCATAATAGAATTACAGGCCCGACGCAATTTATTCCCTAACTAAGTTAGTTATCTTCTGTGTTTTATGATATTTTCTGCTGCAGAAGATTTGAGAATCTGATATACACTTCAGGAGTGAACGTTTTGTCTGTTCTAAAATAGATGGCTACTAAACAAACTAGAGCTCGATTTTGGTTGAGCACTCTATGGACATGATTTGTATTAATTACACTAAGACGTGCAAGACTGTCTTTTGCAATTGGATGCAGAACACATATGTATAAAGCTAGCATGCAGTCTGCAGTGCATACACAGATGAAAATACTTTAATGCTGGTCTCAGATACACTATGCACTGACAGCATTTACTCTACTACTGCGTGTTATAACCGTGTGCGCGCAGAAACACGGTTCCAGAGCTGAGCACAAGAAATATGTGCCACTCAGTCACCCGTTTCGGCAAGCCACTCGAAAAGACATAAATCACAAGCCTCCGATCAATGCCACTTCCCATCGGTGAACTCCTGTGGCACAATACAATCAATTCTCGCTCCCTGCTGCAGCCTCAAGGAGGGTGGACTGGAATCAGGGCCCATCAAACATTAATACCAGCATTTAATCCAAATCAGCTCATTGGCATTATCAATGGAGAGAGCATCTGTTGCTTGTAACACGATGGCTGTGTTAAAGCAATGTACGTAACATTTAGGTTCACTGCAGATCACAAAAATGCAGAAGAATTTCAACGGCTGAAAGCAAAAGTCATAATTCAAAGAGTGGATCAGTTCAGAGCTCTGACATACGCAGCTGCAGTAAGCGATCCGAGTGTGGAATTAACAATACAGAGAACCTCCACTATCCCTGTGAAAAAAATATATTGGAGCACCATATACAGTGGAGCGTATGTCTGATCCCATGCTGCTGGAGTCCAGTCACGGTCATTTGAATTACAGCAGGAATTGTGGTCATGTGACCTGGTTATTGCTAAACTATGACTATGACACAGGAGGACAGGCGGGATGGGGATTAGAGGAGGACAGTGTGTACAGGACATGACAGGTGTGGGTTCATGTGATCACAATCCAGGCTCTGCTCAGGAATAGACTGCATTGATCTATTGTGTCCTCTCCCTTGAACGCAACATGTCAAATGAGTGAATTTGAATTGTTTCTTTATTTACACCATAACGATAAACGGGTCTGAATGTGCTTGAGAGTGATCAAATATTCTGTGTCTTGCTGTGAGTGTGTGTGCCGGCCTGCGTGCACACATTCCTCATTTTTAATATTGCGCTGCTCCACCCAGTGCAGCTCATGCATACATTACAGTACATGAACACAGGCGGGCTGGCAATTTGATACCACAGCAGTTAGTGATTAAATGTACTTTAATTTTCTATTGGGGAAACAAGGACACACACGAATACTTTTCAGTTTAATTGTACTCACCAGATGGCAGTTTTTAAACAGGTTTGAAAGAAACAAGCATGCAAGAGCCTTTGCATGAGGTCTCATCTTCAATCGCTCATTAATCTGTTGAATTATTTATGCTCTATCTGCAAGCAGGGGGTGGGTGGGAAGTTAATGCTTAACAGCCTGAGAAGCAGGAGAGAAGAATCACAATGTTGTACGCTGCAACAAATGCTGCGTTGCCTTTCAGATGTATAAAACTGTAGAAGTTATATGCAAAATGCCTTTTACATAGCTATAAGCTATTGGGATCATTGCACACGGACCCACACCAAGACTCATGCAGGAGGAAGCTCCTGCTCAGTTCAAACCTCCTGCTGATATCATAATAACCCTGTCAGCTGAAAATATGCTCCCGTCAGCAGAGCCGTGGCCCGCCTACAGCAGCCGAGTAGCTTATTGATGCTTCTTTGTCGCCGTTTTCCTCCACTCGCGTTCCCACCGGGCGTTCAAGCCCTAACGAATATGTATTGAATAGCTTACTCACTCACTGTCATCGGGGCTCTGACACATTCCTCCTCTTTGGTTGATGCATGCAATGGTTTTGGATGGATGGCTTTAGACTGATGCGCAGTTGTTATAAAGTGTCATGTTACTACGCAAGTAAAAACACACAAGAAGAAGAATAATAATACTACATCTTCGAAATTAGACATTTTCAACTGCTTAGTGTGCTTCAATTAAACATTAAACAGCTTATTTTTTGTATTTCTATGCTTGTATTCACACCCTCTCCTGGTCAAAGGGTGCAATTACAACCTTCATAAGTACAGTAAGACTATCGTTCTACCTGGAAGCATTCAGTGAAGGACATTTATAGTGAAGAGACCATTATCGATTTTGTTTGTTGACTTTTGTGCAGATAAAAGTTTATAACCAATGAAGGCATATTTATTTATTATTGTACTATACACTATATTATCATGCAAATAATCTCATAATACATGAAAAAGGTCAAATTTGCAAACAGATTCAGAACATTCCCAAAAGACAGTTATTTAAAAATAGAACTCTACGTGACAAAAGACATCTAGAAATATTGACCATGTATTTGTACAGCTGTACCTGAAGTACGCTCAGCATGAACACAAATATCTTTAATTGAACTGCAGCAAGTTAAAGTATAATAAACATTAGCCATATCTTTAAAAAACGATTTAGGTTTTAATAGAAGCTTTTACTCTGTATGAAGAATCGTTTTCTTTCTAAAAATCCAGTGAATTTCCCCCTCCAGCATCATACCACAAGCATGTCAGCTGGGGGAGGCTTTAATGGAATCTGGCCCAGAGTGAACCTCTTGGCCTTGAACTGGTTCAGTTCCTCTGGAGTCATATTGCTCTCTTGTGAAAACAGAGTGTCCGATGCCCCGCCGGCAGACCCCGCCCCTGCTGCCTGTGGAGCAGCCGCCTTCCCGAACCCTCCACCCGTCTGTCCAAACACACTGCCGCTTCCTGCGGAGGCGGCCGCTTCAGACCCAAAAGCGCTCGCGAATCCTCCGCCGGGGGTCGTTGTGGAGGAGAAACTGAACCCGGAGGCTGAGCCAAATCCTGAAGCGGCGGCCGGCTTGTTGGCAGGCGGAGCGGCAAAGGAGAACGAAGACGCGGCAACAGCTGAGGAGCCTGCGGTGGAGGAACCAAATCCGGAGGGAGGTTGCGCGGGAGCTGCTGAGGGGCCGCCAAAAGCTGCGGGGGCCGAGGAGCCAAATCCAACCGCTTGGGCCGCAAAGCTGAACGTCTCGGCCGTGGCTGGTGCCGGAGCCCCAAAGCCTGGATGGTCAGAAAGACGATTGCTAGTATGAATTTTGATCACCTAATCAGACCGGATGTTGAGTAATATCATCTTTTCAAACCCTGCATGGAATACTTTAAGCCACTCTCCTATGTGTCGTTTGAATATTGCTCCACAGCCAGCAGTCGCCTAGCCCTAAGACTGGAAATCGCAAGCTGGATTCTATTCTACCCTAAGCGAAGAAAATCAACCCATCATCCACTTTAAAGAGTGGGAATCTTAAAAACTTTAAATTTAACATACAAACGCCAAAGTGTGAATAAAACCAATGAGTAACTATTTCTTAGTCTGGGAGCAAGTGCCACTTTTGATACTTTTCAAGAGGGAAAGTTCTACTGTTACAATAAAGTAACTCAATCTTCACCTTTTCCTTCCAAGCTGGATACAGCAGATCCAAATCCAGTAGCTGAACCGAAGCTACTCGGAGAGGACCGAGTTGCAGGGTTGTTCATCTCACCGAGCTGGGAGAAGAGTAAATATCCAAAACATAATTCCTGTATTTTTATCTTTCAAATTAATATATGGGAGTAATGTTACCGCAACAGTGTAGGTCTCACCAAAGCTGTGCGCGTGGCTGGAGTCATAAGCTTCAGCTCCTGGACTCTGCTTCTCCACTGGTTGAGCAACTGATTGATACCATTAACCTGAACAAATAAAAACAGGAGTTTCTTAGACTCACACATTTTAATTTTAGACAATAACGAACAAAGAACACGGCCGACTAATTCAAGATTGAAAATTGAGATGCCCCCATCATCTCCACTGAAAGGAATACTTGAATCCATGCAGAAGAGTCCAGTCTCCCCACAAATAGATAGGAGATGGTATCCTCTTATCACTTTGCCTGAAGACAAATATTAGGAGTGAGATTAATGCGTGACAATACACTCACGTAGCTCTGCAGATCTCCCGAAGCCTTTGTGGAGTAATACTCCAGCCTGAGCTCTTCTGGAGAGAGATCAGTGAAACCTGTCGAATACCAAACACAATCAGGTCTAGCGTCTACAAATAACAACAGAAATCACGTTGTTCAGTGTGTGTTTGATACAGACCAGATAAAGGTGACTTGGAGCTAGAATAACACGAAAAGACCCACTGTCCAGAACTCTCCCAAATGTCCATGTCCATCTGGATGATCTCCCTGGGTGAGCGTGAGACAGACATCACATCAATGGATTCCCTCTGACGACAAGCATTTTATAAAAAAAATGTAAAAGAGTAACCAGACTCACAGTTTTTTGTCATCATCTTCCTCGCCGACCGGCACCTGCTGTCCTCCTCCTCCTCCTCCTCTTTCAAAAGTACTTTGAGTACCAAGCGCTGAAAATCTGTTCTGACCAGAGAAGCTCACATTGTCTTTTTTTCCCCCTCCTCCTCCTTTGCCCCAGTCGTTCCCTCCTCCTCCTCCTCCTCCTCCTCCTCGACCCCAGTCATTCCCTCCTCCTCCTCCTCCTCCTCCTCGACCCCAGTCATTCCCTCCTCCTCCTCCTCGGCCCCAGTCATTCCCTCCTCCTCCACCACCACCACCACCACCACGACCCCAGTCATTCCCTCCCCCTCCTCCTCCTCCACCACCACCACCACGACCCCAGTCATTCCCTCCCCCTCCTCCTCCTCCTCCACTACGACCCCAGTCAGCTCCTCCACTTCCTCCTTTACCCCATTCCTCAGTTCCATGGGAGGAGAAAGACGAAGGCTGGATATAGGCTGCTTTTTGCTGGGAAGGATTCACCCAAACTCGATTTCCAAACCCTGAAACCAGCACGCACACCATAACTAACGTTAGTCAGTAGCTGTTTTTGTTCAAACGGTTTGTAACGATGGTCGATTGACGTTTCTGCCAGCAACGTTGAGCTGAGTTAGCAAACACAGGGTCTTCCATTAAACAGAGACGATCTTACGTTAAATAACGTTACTTCGACACGTTTAGGTTTCGTTTACTTAGCGCACCTTTACCTCCAGCTCCTCCTCTGGGATGCTGCTGAGCAGGAGAGTTGTAGCTGCTGCTGCTGTTGTTGTTGTTGTATGCTCCTCCACCACCTCCACCTCCACCTCCTCTTCCTCCTCCTCCTCCTCCTCTCGGATGCTCATTCCAACACTTGTCGCCGTAACGACATCGGCCCTGAAGAAAGAAATTGCACACAGGCATTTTCTACAACGCGTTGGCAGTTTCGAATGCACCGTTGCTGCTCTAAGCTACCAGTGTTTTGGTGCGACGCAGCTCGCAAGTCGGCGTCGCAGGAGATTTACGTCAGAGATCACGGCGCTGCACTTCCGGGCTGACGGAGCAAACGTTTACGTTTAATTCTTTCCTTTTCTTTTTTACAAATATTATATGTATCTGATTATTTTTTAATATTACAGTATAATTTATTTAACTAGTTTTAAATAACGGACATTAGTTAATTTTCTGTTTTTAGTATATTCATCGTAAAGGAAGGAGGAGACGGGGGCGGGACTTCTTGAAACAGGCCCAGTTCTATAGATGGTAATGTCTGTACAGGTAATAGCAATCATTCTGACTGACTAAACTTCTTGAATTGAAACACCCTACTAACATGGCAGGATTAACTTGTTAGAGGCCCCAGCAGGAAAATACCCATGTACACAACATGCTCAGCTGGAGCTTCTTTAAACCCGTCAGACGGGGTCATTCTGTGCAGAAGTGAGCCCGAACCGAAGAGATCACGTACAAACTAAAAAAGGGATTATAAAAACTTTGCAAAAAAAACTACAGTCTTCAAATTAAATTTTGACACAGCATACAAGACATAACAGTCATTGTAAATTTAGAGGCAAATTTAGTTAATTTCCAAAATGTTTTGAATATAACTAAATGTTGGGAGCCAGCCCTCTTGGTTGCTCAGTATATAAAATTAACTGCAACCCGAGTGCATCAACAAATAATACAACTATGTAAGTTGTCCAACTCAAGAAGGTGCAGCAGGAAGACATCTTTAATGGTCAGTGAACACAAACAATCATCATCTAATCATCCATGAGAAAAAAAACCTGTCCGGGTAAACACTGCATACTCACATGGGTGTGAGGAAATCAGTATGGTACTTCTGGTTTGGATTTAAACCTGATATTGTGACTATTAATTTAATTCATATTAAATTATAACATCAGACACATGCTCGTCGTCTTACTCTTGGCAATGTTGCTCCTAAAACAAGCAAATATTTTTAAATGCATACACATACAAAGTTTTATTGTGTATTGTTGTTTACAGCTTTTTGACAGAGCATAACGTCAAATAAACATTTTCAAAGAAAGAATGAATGCAATTTGTAACACATTTCTTCACCAATATATTTGCTATTTCTGGAAGACTAAAGGATACACTTTAATAGGGTGACATGCAAAGATTTAAAAATGTATTAATATATTGAAAATAAATTAGAATGATGATGGACAAATAGTGGCAGTAAAACTATGGCAATAGGAGCTTCACTAAACTTCATAATAACAAATACACTTCACTTAATGTAGCCTACTGTAGCTTTTTGTACCAGTATTTCAGAGAATGTAAAAAATATAACTATCTTGATAATTAAAGTACTCCAATAGCAATCACTTGTTGTATAGCAATGCTTCTTCATTTAAAATTGTATCAAGAAGATTCATGCAACACAGTTTCCAGCATACTGCATTAATGGAACAACGTTATCATTTAGTGTACCGTCAACATGCGTAACATTCAACATTTCTGTTAAACGTAAAATAAACCACATTTCGATATTTCCTGAGCTAAGAAATACAAATAGTTTTCAGCTTAACCACCATGCATTTCAGAATGATCACTTAAATGTGCCCAGCCCATTTCTTAACAAGTAACATTTGCAAAGTGAGCAAGGATATTTATAAATAAATAAAAACTGGATTCATAAAAAAGAATTAGTTGATTACAGCTTTGCTGGATAGAATTATGTAAGGTGCTCACAAGCTAAAAAAGATTAATCTATATAGTATATATATTTTTTAGATAAAGTGTAAATATTTAATGTTTTATACAAAATATGCTTGCTTAGTCATAGAAATATAAAGGAAGAAAAGCATATATATAATGTGATATATCAAAAAATGTGAGGAAAAATCCATTATGATGATGATAGCAACGACATGTTATCCTTATAAATAATAAACGTCACATTAGAGAAAGAAATTGGGGTACAAATATAGGAAAAAAAAGTGCTCTTGCTAACACCACCACTACTTTAGCCCTTTGCACAGCAGGGACAATCCATGTATGCTGAGACAGAGGACCAACTGGAGCACTTCATTTGCTGTCTCCGTCCACAGCCTGTGGCCGTCCCTCCTCAGCGTCACCTCGGTGGAGCCGAGCAGCTGCTCTGCCAGCTCGAAGGCCGGGTTGTCTTGCAGATGGAGCGGGAGACGCTGGATGGAGACGGGCTCGCTGCCCTTCAGCCTGCACATCTGGGGGGAGATGGACACCAATACATGGATGGATAATTCACGTCATGTCTTAAATCCTTAAATCCAACTCTTTTCAGTCAGTGTGCAGTAAATGAAAGAAGTTCACTAACCAGTGTGTCCAAGGCCTCCAGAAAATCGGGACGACTCTCGCTCAGGAGGCTCAGAGTTTCGTCAGGCAACTCTTCAAAAAAAACAACAATAAAGCACAACGGGGTTACGAACCCGCGAGAAAACTTTTGGGTGCGACCTTTTTGTCCTGCGTCGTCCTCACCTTCCATGGCGCTGAGCAGCAGGTGAGCCGCGCTGAGGCGGGCGGGGACATGAGTCCTCTGACTCTCCGACAGCTCTTCGCGCTCGGCCACGTCGAGCGTTTCGCCGCCGCACAACTCCTCCAGCTGACAGGGGGAGACACAGAGAGGCGGCAGAATGTAGGAAATCCCAAATGCAAAAGAAGAACAAGAGGAACGGTAGTTCGGATCAGCGTCACAGCCGTTTGCCAACACATACGGTCATTAAACACAATTAACTCGCCCTGTGGCCTGTTGGTGTAGGGGTCATGTTAGCGTGTCCCTCACCACACACTGCATGTAAGACAGAGCGGTTCTGTCCACCAGAGCCTCCTGGAGCCTTTTGAAGAAGGACCATCGGGTGGACTCGGGCAGCTCTGCCAGAGGAGAGAGGTCCATCTCCTGTGATCCTGTAGGAGGCCGCGACATTTATTTCTTGTAATCCTATTTACTTTAAACTTCAACATTCAAATTGAAATAAGTAAGATTTCTAGTCCCGCTAAATGAATGCGGCGATTGAGAGCAGATTTGTGCCGTCTTTGACTCTGTTGACAGCTGACGTGTTATATTGCTGAGTTGCTACAACGTATTTCGTAATCTGAAGAGTATGAAACTGACTATTAGTCAATATAGTAAAATCCCATTTCTATCACAGCAAAAAAGGGGAACCCGTTTACATCATTACTCCTTTGTCTTTTACTTCCTCCAAAACAAAAAGAAAATGCACACGAACCGCTTGGCAGTGTTCTCGTAGCGACTTTCTCTGGAACCCCCGTCCCGTTGCACCCTCTGTCCACCGTGTCCAAGGGGTCCAAGGGGTCGTCTGACACAAACGAGTCGGCCTCAATGCCTCCTATAGTGCCGGGTTGTAGGCATATATCTGGAAATAAACACAACATCATAGCGATCACACGTAGGTTTAAATAGACGCGTGTGCCTAGAGGTATATCGTTGAAGACGATATGGAATAAACTCACCAAAGTGCCCATTTTTCTTAATCTCCAGCTCCAGGATGCTGTAAGCGATGACTGTACCAGAGGGGATCTCCAAGGAAACAACGCTTTCGGCTTCAATGTTGCCACTGTCCTTTGCAAACACCTGACAGTATACGCACGTATTTTTCATTTTATTGAGAAATTCCCACAGCAAACCCCTCATTCATTGGTTAAGATCCCACAGAAGAGGTACACACCCACATCTCCCTCCCAAACCCACCTTAACACTCCCCAGCATGCCGAGTAGCCCGAGGATCCCCTGAAACGTGCACTGCTCCTTCTCCGTCTGAGTGATGGAGCAGGACTTGGTGGTCAGGACCCTCTCCTTCACCACCGCCAGCACGTCGGCCCGCTTCTCCAGCTGCTGCATCAGCGGATTCTGCATCTCCACCAGCCTGATGAAGGAAAGCGACCGCGTGCGTAACGTTGAGGCGCGGATGACACTAAAGATCTCCGCGGCCCGCATGTCGCGGGTGTCAAACGCCTGATGTCTAATTACATTTACAGAGTGTGCATCGCATTATTAAGTCGTCATCCCGTCGCCTTCCTCTATTGGGCAGATAATCACAGGAGGAATTATTTAGCACCTGCCACTGGAGTCTTGCAACAGCTTCCTCACGTCCAGTTCCTCTTTATTCAGTTTGCCGAAGCACGACTGGAGCTGGGAGGAGCCCTCCCCCTGCAGAGCGGCGCTGGACGACCCAATCTCCGCGCACAGATTCCCGGAGAGCTTCCCTTGAAACGTCCCCTCGTAGGTCAGGAATTCCTTCTTGGACACGTCTGACAACACAAGAGGCGTTGGCTTAACATGGATGTGTGTGTGTGTCTGTGAGACTTTCGATTGGCAAAAGGATGTTATGTGCACACCTACATACCGGGAGCGAGCACCTTGTCGCCTTGCAGCAAGTCGTTGAGCGTGAGGTCCGTCGCCTGGTACTTGGGTTTCTGCCAGAACCAGATGCGGTTGCGCTTGACGACCAGTGCCATGGGAACCAGTTTCTTTGAGTCATTGACCCGGGACACGTGAATGAGGCTTCCTTCGGGGTCAACCTGATGGACGAATTTGGCCGTAGCTTTGGCAAACATGACGTTGGTTGGTGACGACTGCAGACAGCTGGAAGAAGAGAAAAGAGACAAGTCAGGGCATCAATTTGAACTTTTTTTTCATTTTTGGAGGTCAGCCATTACCCAATTACTAAGCCGCACAAGGGGATTTCCCCTTAGATAACGTGGTGCATCATGTAAACCCACACGACTGTGCACTCAACAGCTGGCAGCAACTTTTAGGTGTGAAGGAAATCCCCTTTGATATTGCTAATAGTGTGACCACAAACACACACACACACACATAAAATTCATCTAAAGCGTAATTTGTCATTCGCTCTGAATTATTGCCTTAATCCCCAAACTGAGAGCTCACGAATGGTTTTAAATTATTTATTTTTTATTGTGGGATCTGGACCAAGGAAAATACAGAGACCCGATGTTAGAAAACGTTTTCACATGAGGACGTTCCTACTGTAAACACACGTGGTTTGTAATGAGGACGTGTGGAGCAGTAATGCAGAGGTAAATATGTCTGGCAAATATTTATTTGGAAAATTCTACCATTCTAAAATTACACCACCGACCCACGAGTTTCCCGGCAGCCCCCGTTTCTCCCCCCGTGCAACTGGGCTGCTGTAAATGACAGCTGCGCATGCTCGCACCGCGCCGTGACGTCAGCTCGAGCCCATAAAACGCATGACTCGAATTATGAGTGTGGAATTAAAGAAATTAAGGGTGAGATCGGGGAGGAGAAAAAAAGAGCTTGTCTTCACCAAAACTAGAACAAGAAAAGATCTTTGTATTTTTTTTTCTACGGCTTAAATAAGATGATAAATAAGTAATTTGTAAAATAAAGTCTTACCTCAAACTCTACTTCATAAACAACCCTACGAGGTCACGCGTCGTCGCTTCGGAGCTGCAGGTCCCGTTTCTCGGTGCTGGAATGTCACAGATGTTTGCCGCGCGTAAAAGTTGAGCCGAGGTGTCCAAACGGCGATCGAAGCGGTCGCGTTGATGTAAGAGTAAGTCAGGACGACAACGCCCGGTGAGAGGTGCGGGGTTTGGTCACAGCTGAGGCCGAATGGTGGCAGAGAGGGTGACTGTGCAGCTGCCCACCTTCTAGAGGAGGACACAGACCGCCTCCTCCTTCCAGCGGAGTTAATCGCGATCATATGAGGGGGGGGTGTTGCTCTGTCAGGGGCATTTTTCGTATTTCACCACAACCTGGTTGTAGATTATAAGTAGGCCGATTGGTGACACGTTTCCACCAGCTAAACCACATCCCTCATCCTGCCATGAGTGCAACATCTCCAACTTTTGTTTAATAAGACAACTGTTGACTTGTTACAGGGAAAACATTTCACTTTCAATCACACGTATATATTCCTTCCTTTGCATGTTGTCCCTGGAGTGCCAGGAATCGTCAGGAGAACTAAAGTTGCTTTAGTTTTTCACCTCCTTTTCTTTCTTTTCTAACAACCCCACAGTATATTAAGTAGTTGATGTTACATTGGCACCGTTTGTGCATGCGTGCTCCATCTGTCAGGGACACGGGGAACCATTTTATCTCTACACGTGAGGGGACAACTCCCCGTCAGCCTCGACGAGGTGGCCTCTTATCACCACTCGCCACAATAGGCTCGGACAGAAAGATCAACACTCGGCTTCTCTTTCAGCCCGATCTTCACATCAGACGCTGCTCAAGCGCACAAGCCGGGAGACTGATGTAGAAGCCCCGGCTGGGTTCGGTACGGAAAAGTATAAAATAAAAATAAAAAAAAAAGGGGGGTCCAGCAAAGATGGATTTCAAAAACACAAACTAGTTTATAGACTTAAGCAGGACGAGGGCGGGTTAGTGTGAGAAACAAGGGGGAGACGGGGTATTTATCATGGATCACTACGGGATCTTAAATGGCTATTGGCTTGTGTAAGCATGGACATATTTGGCCTCGAAGCTGAGCAGTAAAAGGAGATATTTGGCTGCAGGCTCTCGCCGTTTACATTTCAGTCAGAACTCTGCACGAATAGCGACTGTCCATACTCACGTTCTGATGATCAATACTTTGTAAAGAGTCATTGGAGGCGGTAAGCAAACTCACGCGGCCCGCAGGCTAAAAACAAAGTGACACGACGTAACAATCCACCCATTGAACATTTTATTATCCTCTTTGAACATGTGAGTGTTATTGTCATTTCCCTCATTGATAAACATTATCCATCGCCCTGTGACAACATGACTCATAACTAGGCAACAAACTGAAAAAGGATAAAAGTCCCTCTTTTGTTATCAGAACATCTGATCAAAATCCTTGTGTCACGATGCGGACTGGACTTTTTCCAATAAGTTCACTTCCAACAATGATCCTTTTCTCTGACCCGCAGTCATCATATCATACTAAAATTACCCAAACAATATTTAAGTCTCCAGAATAAAAGTGTTTTTGCATAACTGCGACAGCAGTTGATCGTGAGAGGCACTGCAATAAAAGGCACTTTTGTAAATGCTGAGATGACACGGTACACGGTATAAATCTTTTACGCTGTCACTTTGTCCGTTACAGTTATGACAATAAGAGCAGAAAATGTATCCGCGAGGAGAAACAGAACCAGCAAACTGTCCGCAGGTTCCGCTCGGCCCTGAAAGGGGAAGCCCGCACAGGTTTGGGTGACCGTGACACGGGCGCACGACTGAACAATTGCAGGCTGGTCTCAGTTCAGTTTTACACTTCCCTCTCGAGGACGAATATGTCGTGGAGAGGGTTACGTTGAGTCCAGATGTCACCACAGCAGAGGGAAGTCTATTTGACTGAAGCCGGGGTCTCTGCGCAGCTCCCAGTACGCATTGTTGCTCACCCACGTGTCGTTATCGGACTTCCTGTCAACACAGCACAAACCACTCAACGATCGATGCATCTGGAACGAGGATCATGTTAAAAACTACCAGTTACTTGGCAAATGTACAGCCTTTAACACTACAACACTACATAGAGCACAGAGGAAATGAGGAGGGAGGAGTTGCGTAATACTCCCTCCAAAATGGATCTAATTTCACGGAGCTGAGAAAGAATTCCAAATTTTCACACAGTATTTCAAGGTATAGAGCGCAGACAAATGATGAGTAAAAGGATGGCACATTTCCTTAACAAACATGAAGGTAAATAGTTTACATCCTTACTCCATACTTACTGTTTACATGAATATCACATTATGTCACACTCCTGAGGTCCCTTTGCCTCTCTGTTCAACAGTTGGTTTGAACCACAGTTTCTAAACATGTGTTATCTAAAGACAAATAAGTGTCTCCAGGATCTTTATACCCGACGAACCAAATTTTGCGGATTTTCCGCGAACACGAAATCGAGGGAGCGTACTTGAAAAAGCGCGGCTGGTGCGTCATGTTGTTGTCCTGCAGCACTTTCCTCCTCTCCCTCTGGAGCCGTTCTATCCTCTGCTTCTGCTCCTCGGCTCCTTCTGTGTTTCCCTCCTCCAACAGTCTGGAAGAACAACCCAAGGGGGAGAGAGAGAGAGAGAGAGAGAGAGAAAGAAAGAGTGAGTCGGGATGGAGGGATGTGCAAATTTGGACGTATGACAGCGCCGTTGCCATTCACCCCATATTTTCTATTAGCGGTGGTAGTTGCAGGTGACCTTACCTTCCATGTAGCTGCTAAATGGTGGTCATCAATACCAGAGTTAATACCCAAATTGAACAACAATGATTAGGCTAACCGACCCGTCGCAGATAACAAAAAATATCCTGTTTGCATTCACTGGAGCTTGACTCAGATCTTTGAGTTGCACGTAATGAATCCTACAGGTACTGGATTTAGGTTCAGGTTTAATTCTTCAGTTCCTCAAAGAGGAACTTAAATGGCCTCGTTCAACACAAGTTCCCCAGATTCTAGGAGCTACACAGACCACGGATCCAGCTGTTCTTAGATGTACCTGCGGTTTTCCTTCCGTGACACGTCAAAACCTTTTCTGTGGCAACGGTTCTCCTATTTACGTTTCAGAATCCTTTTCTATTGCACTACATCAAGAATAATGTTGCAGAGGAAATTTTGAGAGACCAAACGAATACAATAAAGATTTAATTACATTTTATGTAATTTTACATTACAGATATTTCAAAATTGTTCAAAATAAAATCTCTATGTCAGAGGACAGTTATTCTCAGTCTGCTGGCATGGTTACTTTTATATTTCAGACAGGTACGGCTTTGATCTGTAGAACCCATTAGGTCAGAAGGATATTCTTAAATGGGTATGGGCTCATGTCTGTCGAGGCTTCAAGAACATTTATAGAGAAGACGAGAGTGCGAACCTCTGGTCGGGCCTGAAGCGTGTGTCTGTGGGGGGCAGAAGAGGTCTCAGGGGGGAGTCCAACTCATTTAACTCCACTGCAAACTGGGTGAAGCCATAGTACTGGTCTTGGTTCACCGGCATGGGGTCTACACGTACACACACACACACACAGACACACACACACACACACACACACAAACACAAATCAACAAATTAAAGTGTGTCTTCTGTTGGACGTCCCCGGTTGTGAAAACCTTCTACAGGGACCTTCACTCACTTGCTCTCCAGATACACGTGGCCAACGGTGGGTCCCCCTGAAAAACTGACTCGTGCCATTTTCCGAAGATGGAGTGGACAACTTTTCCATTTGAATCGGTAACCACGCCTTCTATCTCGTTCACTGTGGAGCTCCATGATCTCGCCTGGAAAATAAATAAATAAATAATCCATCCATCCATCTACAAACCGCTCATCCTGCAGAGAAGGTCGCGGGGGACAGACCGGGTACAACCTGGACTGGTCGCCAGCCAATCGCAGGGCTACACAGAGACAAACAACCATTCACTCACATCCACACACCAATAATAAGACTGAGGAAATGATCTGTATGCGTTAGATGAAGGAGATATCTTACATAAAGTACCACATTTAAATCACGGTGATCAATTATTGTATTATTCATGCTCATGGTTTCAAAACGCAGTTCCTCTCTCTGTCCAGAAGATGGCGCGGTTTGCTGTGATCGAACAGAATAGAGAGAGGAAGCACCATACTGACAAAAAGGTAAATCGTTTTATGAAGAGAGTTGCTACATGTTCAGAGGAGAGTAAAGCGACTGTAACGATTACACGGTCATGTTTTTGTCAGTGCAGCACATTCGGGACAGTTTGGAGAAGCAAGTGTCATCCCACCATCATTCTTTCTGCTTTGGTAAGCCACGAAGAACATTCCTTAACAAAACTTCCCGTTCCCAAAAATCAATTGGGAAATAACAATCAGTTTGTGTCCTTCACATTAAACCCGGTGATTGAATGTCAGTGTTCACCGACCTTGACAAACGTGACTTTACACTGGCAGGCTTCACTGTTTCGATTCTTAATGGACATTTCTCCGTAGTGCTCGATCCAGCGCTGGCCGCTCAGGATGTTATGGATGCACGACGTCACCTTGTTCCATTCGTAGTGGTCCCCGAACCTGTGTATGAACACAAAAGCACGTTATGCTCACTGTGCATGTCGATACCCTCTAATTCCCACATTAAACCGCTGTGTAAACACTAATGCACAATCAAACACACAATGGGTCAAGGGCTTACGCAGGGAGTGTGACATGTGTGGTTCCCATGGGAACAATTTCCATGGATTTGCCCCAGAATTTGTTTTTCCACCGAACATCTAAAAGAAAGACGGCAAGATGACAGGTGAGTGCTTGTTCTTAACTTAAATCTTCAACGCTTTAAATGGTCTCCTCCGTTTTCTTTATAAATCAAATTCTCTGTCCGTACGCACGCAGGGAAATGCAAGCAAAGGCAGCGCCGCCTTTGTTCTCCCCCCCCCCCATGAGTCCGATCTGCACATTCATTTCTCGGAGTATGTACATAAAGAATCAAACACTCATTCAATGGAAAGTCACAGAGCGATCACCTAGGCAACGTGAGGTTAAATCCGGTCACTTGATCTCCCACAACACCACTTTCCACCTTAAATATTCCCCACAGCATGTGTGAAGGATTCAGAAACCAAAGGGAGGGGGGGATGTTTATTACCAACATTGTTCTCTCCTGCTCACCTTGCCAAAAGGCGAAGTTCCTTGAATCAGAGTGACATGCAGACACAGGTGGGTGATGACTCACCTGGGAAACAAAGAGGCAATCCGTCAAAAGCGTTGCCCAGTGTGGCTCAGGAAGCACGGAACAATGAAGCGGTCAAAACAAAAAAAGCGGGAGAGGGGAAACCTAGAACCATGCCGGCTTTAAACCACGGCCACGTCTATTTTCGAGTTCGGTGCAGTAACTGTGAACACACGAGAGCGCCACATGGTTTGCTTCTAGATGGATTAAGAGGTCTTGTAAGTTTTAAAATAATCAAATTGACACATTGGACCACAGTGACAACTCTTATGACGATTACAAAATCAATACTTAAAAAACAAAATAAAAGCACATCTGAATTAGTAACAACTTTCTGTTATCTTGTATTCTTTAAGACAAATTAGCCTCATTGGTGAACGAGGAATAAAAAAAAAAACCTTGATGAATTGAAGTCAATGGATGGCGCATTTAACAACAGCAAAGCCTCATCAAAAACCACAAATTCTCACTCAACTTGTGCAAGTCTCTTTCATCATATGCTCACTACTTCCCAATTATTTTATTATTATTATTATTGGGCGGGTGCCCATGTGAGTCAGAGGTGTTTTAGATTATATATATATATATATGTTAATGAAAGGTTTGAGATAAGCACGAGATAAATGACTCCCATTAAAAGACAACACCCAGTGTGAATTATTCCACCAAAGGTCATTTTGTGGGAGAGTCATTATTTGAATTAGAGGGATATGAAATTAGCATTAGCATTAGAGTACAATCACTTTACATATTTCATTCAAAATATTAACTGAGAAGTAGTTTATCCAACGTGGCGGAGTGTGTGCGTGCTGTGAACAGTGGGACGTCTACCTGTTCGGCTATAAACCTGAAGCTTTTATCCGGCCTGTCACACTCGTACGTCTCTCCGAGGACGGGGTTGAAGGGTTTGCTTCCTGCTCGGTGGTACGTGGACGCATATGCAGTTATTGCAAATGTAGCGACGTACACCTGCATGGACAATAAGAGGGAGAGGGGGGATCAACATTTGTTACACGCGTGCATTCAAAGTGACATGACCGTGTATACATCTGTGTGTGTGTGTGTGTGTGAGAGAGACAAACACCAGCAACTTGGTTTGCATGAGAAACTGCATTCAAAAATCACATATCTTCTTACTTTTAAATACAGCAGCTGCCTTTACAAAGTAGATAAGAGTCACATGAAGAACTAGGACACACTGCTTACGTGTCACGTTGCACCTTGAACTTTGACCCTGTCGCTCATTTGTCCTCTCTTCAGGAGGACTGTGGGTCAGAATAGTCTACTGTGATGATCATTAAATCCTCCCTCGACCGTTACGTTAGAAGCTGTGAATAGGTGTTTTCTTTCCCCTCACCATGCGCTGGTAAGGGTCTCGGGTGTGGTTGGCGGTGTCCAGCAGCTCGCTGTACTCCAGCTCCTCACACAGCCTCTGCAGGGTGTTGAGCGGCTCATTGAGCTGCACTGGCATGGCCACCTTGGACAGGTCCTTGCCAATGTTGTTCTTCAGGATGTTCCAAAGGCTCACGCTGCTGGTGGGGCTGGTGGAGGGCAGCGTGGAGCGCCGCCGAGCCGGGGTCAGCGCGCTGCTCACTGGGAGAAGGCGAGCGGTTACGGTTACGGAGGGCGCGGTGCACATTGGACGTGCGAAAAATGATCAGGTTTCATGAAAACCTTTGGGGCCAAAAGCGGTTTTGGTGGAGACGGCATCAAAACTGGTTTCACTCAAGCGTCACCGAGCTGCAGCAGAGCTGTTTAACTCGCCTGTTGTGGGGCCACATTATGCTTTAAATTCTGTTTGAGCGCCAAATAAAGTCAATCTGTAAGAGATGTTTAACTGTTTAACTGAAAATGGTTGAATTCAATTATGCAAAAGAAGTGGACTAATATGTAATCTTTTTATGAGCTTCATTAGAAATGTTCTCACATATTGCAATGAGCCTTCAGTAATCAGACTAATCAAAATAAACACAAGATATTAGCTGTTTCATCTGTTCGTGGATTGAAAGTTGTATTTCAACCGTCTGCAGTTGTGAATTAATGAATCCTTTCCACAGATGCTTTGTCACATACTGTGTGAGGAACATCGTACTGACTTTGTAAACAGTTTGGCAACGATCCTGTTGCCAAACTATTTACTGTTATCCTGTCAACACATTCCCTACGGAAGAGGCATTTCCACAATTCAAACATTTGTAAATGATCTGGTTAAAAATAAAAAAAAACGCAAAAGCCACACACTGCGCCTCTTTTGGGACAGAATAAAATATCCGTTTGCTCCATATTTCTGATGCACCCACAACTTGTTGCTGTAGCACGTACCTGAGTTGTGTCTCTCACTGCCTCCCTCGTTGCTGTAGGTATCCACGGAGATGCTGTCACTGACATCGCTGACGTAAGAGTCGTCGTCGGAGACCTGGAGACGGAAAGTCAGCGCCAAAAGGTCAGCGAGCGGAAAGGACATGTAATCAAAAAGGACGATGAGAGACAAACGGTAAGTTCTGCCTCATCAGCACAGATAAATGTGAAATGCACCCAGAGTACAGAGTGCTTGTTGGAAGGGGCCGTGTTGCAACAGTAGGAGTAACAAGACACGGATTCATTTTTCCTGCACAACTAACCCTGTATAGGACTTGAACATTTGTATCACTGTAGCACTGAAACATGCAATAATATAAATGAATTACGTCAACAGATCGCAAACGTCTTCTATAAAGCAAACAATGTCATGGATCCAGCTTCTCAAACGTAAATATAGGCCAATATTCTCTGCTTTACATTATTTGAAATCAACAAAACAAGTTATTTATCAAGAAACTACAATAGTTAAGGACTTCTTTATGAACTTCTTCTACAAGCGCATAGAGTAATACAGCATATAGTGTCTCACCTCATTCTCAGAAGACGAGGAGGACAGCAGGTACTCCTGAGCATCGAAGAACTCCGATATCGACTCTGAGATCGACGCTTTGCTCTCATTGGACAACTGGTGGACCAAGGAGTGAGACCCTCCGGGACATTCCTGATAGTAACAAGTCACTTGAGTGAAACTGCACCTGAGCTGACGGGTGGCGCACACTTTGTTTTGGGGGGGGGTCCCACTCACCGAGGCATAGGCGGTCTTCAGGCCGACGACCTGCGCCGGCTGCGGGGCCTGCCGGTCGATGGTTCGCCTCATTCTGTCTCTCTCCGCGACCAGAGAACTGAAGGCTGATTTCAGAGAGGTGTGGACTGCGGAGAGAGGCCCAATTTCAAGACAGAGTTGTCATGGAAACCATCGAACCAGACACACAAAACAAGCGTGTTTTTCAATCTTCCGAGTGAATCCATCTCCAGAGCCGCCTGGCGGGAGACCCCAGCGGGGACTCACTGTTGTTGGCCAGCGAGCAGAAGTCTCCCTGCAGACGGGACGCGTTCGTAGGCGAGTCCGGGGATTCGGGACAGACCTCCTGGGGGTTTGAGTCCGTGGTGGAGAGATTGGGGTTGGAGGCGTGCAGACGAGGGGATTGAGAGGAGATGCAGCTTGGGACCTGGTGGACAAAAACAAACAGAGGAAGGAGAAGCCATCATTTTCCCGTCATTTACGCTGTTGAACCTTTAAAAAAAAAAAAAATTAACTATCAGAAAAAAAGCCACACGTGTACCTGTAGGTTGACTTTGGTTTCTTTGCCATTGTTTTTGGATCGCCATCTCCTTGGCCTCTTCTCTTTTTTGGGCATGTCATAATTAGAAGCCTGTGGTACCACAAGAACACTTAACGGAGTAGAACACCCAAACAAGTCATGTGGTTATCAGTCCGCACGCCACAACCAGTGAGGGGAATCTGCTTGTAGCGAAACATGCAAGCTAGCTTAACAGATCAATCTAGATGCGGTTAACCAACTTCAAAAAGACATCTGTCATCGGTGTGAGCTGCCTGTGGAACCAACGCTTCACGAAAGGCAACAAAAATAAACGTGTGTCAAAAAAAAGTTGATGGAATAAAATGGATAATCTGTTTGGGGAGACACGTGAGTGACGGACGTCAAACTGCTTTCAAACGAGCTTCCCGCGGGCATCGAGGAAATGCACATAAAATGTTACCGCGTGGCTTGAATCAAGACACAAAGAAGAGATTAAGCTGCATCGGGCTCACTTAATCCGTGCGGCTGTGCTTACCTGTAGTGCACTGATGGCCGGGGCGGAGTAGGTGCGGTGGAGGACCTCCATGCTCTTCAGCAGCAGGTTGAGTTCCAGCAGGTACGCCTCACATTCCTCCAAGTCTGAGTCAAAGATGTTCAGCATTAGAATGAAAGTTGGGGTGCACCCAGGGACAGAATCAATGATTCACTGCGGCGAGACACATTTGAAGGGGAATCCGTTGACGAGGACGACGATCGGTGGGGCGGGAAAGCAGAAAGGTGGACAAAACAGCGGCGACCAACCTTTGCAGCACTTGGCCATGTCCTCTGAAGAATGGAGCCAAGAACTGACCTTCGCCTGTTGGACCGACGCCTGCTTGGTGAGAGTGGCCCTCTGTGCGGGAGAGAGAGAGAGACGAGAGGACGTCGGGCCTCTGCCACGTCACACAACCGCGTCGCCGACTGTGTCAAATCTAGAACGCGACAACTCACTTTTCTCAGGGAGTCGCCGAAGGAGGGGGAGGACGAAGCGTGGGGGCTGAAGAGGGGACTCTCGTGGGGATACATGGCGATCTCGTTCTGGCGAAACACGCGGTGGTGACGCAGCTTGGACACCCACTCCTCGAACAGCTCCGGAGCCTTGACCTGTGGGCGCCACGCGGTCACGTTAGGAGCAGTGACTTGGGACACAGCGGCAGAGGAAGTCCGTCAGAGAGCGAGAGAGTAAGGCAAGTGCTTGGGGAGAGGGGGGGGGTCACCTTCAAGTGATAGATGTTGTCCTCCGTGTCCAGGTCGATGCACATGGCTTTCTTCTTGATCGACATGACGGAGAGGCCGACGTCGATGCAGCCGTGAAGCTTTCCCTTCTGCAGCTGTGAACATCACACTTTGTTAGCGGTGCGTTCGTACGCAGTGACGTGGGAGAATGACTCGTGTTGGGGGGGAAGGGGGAAAATACCTACATCAGCTCCGCGCTTTGCATACTTCAAGATGCCTTTCTCCAGCATGAAGTATCTCTGAGTGGGAAGAAATCAAACTCAATCCATATGCATTCACAACGGTACTCATTTTCTTTAGTTTCGCACTCTTAATATACAAAAAGTCCAATAAAGCCAACAGCTGTGCAGACATTATGAAGACATTATGTACCGTTATGAAGCAGCAACACCTCAATGACCCTGCGATTCCACCTTCACAACAGCAGCAGTAAAATAAGCGACTGGCCCTACTGTTAATGACCATAAATAGACATAGCAAGAGCTTACAGGCAAAGTGATTTTGGTTTAACAGTAAAAAAAAAAAAAAAAAAACTCAAATAAAAAAAGCAGCGCTTTGACCGTACTGGAGACCTCCTCGTTGGTCAAAAATGTGTCTATTCAAGTGTCGATTCAATCACGTTGCAGGGCCGAACTCTCCAGGTATGCATAAGCACACTGAAGAGGGGGAGGAAGATGAGTCAGGGTTACAGTGTAATCGACTGGGAATAAAAACAATGGAATGAAGGAAATACAGACGGCTATAATGGTGAGGAGGAGGAAATGTGGAAATAGCTCGAGGTATTAAAATACACCAGGTCAGAACACTAGTTGGACATTCGGTAAAGGACCGAAATGCTGGTTTGGTCATCAGGAAATAGATCACACCTACAACCATGTACAGTATCGTACGTAAAATGCAAAACTTCTTTACAATACTGCATATGTGGTAAAACACCATCTGTGCCTTTAAAGAACTCAGCTACAAGGGAAGAATACGGTACAGAATATTATAAATAAAAAAAAGACATTGTGGGATCTGACACCCTCCGTAACAAAAGCAATAACGTTCAGAGTGAAAAAAAAAAGCTCTCTGAATCAACAAAAAACAGCAACAGCAGCGTTCTATTATCAGAAGTGCCGCAACGCTGTGGCTGTCTTGGACTTTAACAAGAGCTCGGATGGTGCTCACCTTGTGCCACCCCTTCATGGGCCACTTCCTCCTCTTGAGCAGGAAGCCCTCCTGTCTGTCAGGCTCACGCATACTGGCAGGAACCCCCCTGAACCCCTCCACAATCTCCCAGCTGTCCTGCAGGGAGACACGGGCGCGACGCCGTACCAGTTAGACGGACGTGTTCCTCAAAATAGCACCATGTGAAGCATGTTATCAGTGAACGTAACCTCCGTCACAGATACCATTTAAGTGCAACGCTGTTGTGACAGCAACAGCGCTTGTTGTAAAAACAGCGCTGTTTGCATCACTAGTTAAATGCTCAGTCAGAGGGAGCGATACTTTAATTATTGAACCCATTTCAACAGTTTGAAATGCTACTACTTCAATTTGAACTGAAAAAGCAGGAAAAAAAACCCACCCACACACCAAATACTCTCATGGAGTACATTAAAAGTACCACACGTACCTGGTTCCTGAGGTGCTTGGAGGAGCCGCTGCCGTCACTGTGAGTGGGCGATGGCGTCGCCATCGTCTCCTCACGCACCGCAGCGCCTTCTGCCAGCCGCGTGTCTCGTTTCTGTGGAAACCACGGCAACAGAGATCACAGCAGAGCCGGCGGGAGCATCGCTCTGAACTTTGAAGGCCACGGCAACAGGCGGCGCGGAGCGGAGAGGTTGAAAAGGGAGCCGGCGTCAGGGCGGCACGGGGGGCTATTTTTAAAAAGAGAAGCGGCGCGGCGCCTTGGACCAAGCAGATACAAGCGGAGGGGAATCGCTTCGTGTGTCTGAGTAACCGCCAACAGCCCAACGGAGGATGATAAAAAAAGTATATTTGGTTTAAGGAAGCTGGACACAAATATTCACAGGGGGAAAAAACACTGCATTGTGAGCTCTCTTGGACACAGATTCTGACTAAACTCTGACTTTGTGTGTGAACTGTGACACTTTTGTGCGCACTAGATCCATCCAATAGAAAAACAACTTGGCGGTAGCTGTGGTACCACGCAAGTTTTAAAAAGGTCCACTTGTAAACAAGCAAGGGGGGGGAGAGGGCAACAAAAAAACTCATTAGTGTGCAGAGCCTCACATGAACAGGACCAACTTTAATTGGTTCGGAGTTCACGCCACTGGAGAATAAAACAGAACTAAGCTCTCGGCTTCACCACCAGCTGATTACAGCCAATAAGACCATCACTTCCTTCCTCTATCACCACTTTAAACATGAATGGGAAAGTTTGCTTTACGTGTTGATGAAATATGAGTGAAAGGCCAGTGAGGTAAAAATCAACAATGAGCTGTTTTTTTTGTGCTAAATATATATTTTTTTAAATGAAGCAAATTGGCTTGAGTAGCCACAAGACTTCTGCGTGAAGTCTTTGTGTCCAAAGTGGAGGCCCCGGGTGAACACGCAACGACAGATTCCCACCGCCACATTCATTCCTCTCAACAAATGCCCCAACCTGCCCGCATATTTGAGACCACATGAGTGAGTGTGTGAGTGTGGGTGTGCGTGTGTGTCACTCCCTTTGCGCGCCGCTACCATCAAAGACTAACCGCACCACCCGTGTTGACGTGGACGTGTGAGCGGGGCAAGTCCCTCTCGTTTCGATTAGCACACTGGAAACTCTGAAACTAACATTAAAGTTTTAAAGTGTGCTGCAAATCCTCTGCAAAACCGCATAGCGGTTTGTGTGCATGCGGCGCAGTTCCCCATGGCCCCTCTTACAGTCAGTATCATGCCCAGGACGTGAGTCATCAACAGGAAAGAATGTGCTCAGTGCTTGAATACACCCCCCCCCCCTCCTACCCTCCTCCCCACTCTCCAAACACACAGCTAGCTACAGTCAACAGTGGGCTAAAAGCAGCCAGAAGCACAAGGGCAGCCCACTTGCTTCACGGCTGTGGAGAGCGGACTGCGTGCAGGCCGCCACACGTCTGGCGTCCCTGGTTTAAACCAGGTACAGGTATTGTCACGCACTGTGTTACTGCAGTCTAGACTTGCAATGGCAGAAAGGTGCAACAGATTATGCAAGTGGTGTAGGAGCCCGGGACCTGCAGGGGGAATCCTCAGCTCTGAATGAATTTTTCGAAGGAATACATCACAATGGCAATTTCATCTGTTCACAGATTTAGTGGGAAGTGTCGCTCACTACCTCGCGACCCTTCCTCACCTTAAGAGCTGGTGCGAAAGCTGTGCATAAGTCTCTGAACTGTAAACGAAGCACGCGACTCCCCGAGCATCCCTCCGAGTGGCGTCTTACCTCCACTGAGTGGTTACTGTAGTATTGCACACCACCGGGCCTCCCGCACCGTGAGACTAGCAGTGCTCGGGCTTCGCCTACGTCCTTACGTGATGGGAGTCAATCATTGATGGCGTGGCACCTGGTAAATGATCGGTTAAGATGGAAAGGGGTCATTCTCAATGCAAAGGTCAAGGCCACGGAGTCACAAGGCCCAAACGAGGTAATAAAGCGTTTTAAAAGGTGATGGGAAGTGACATTTCTTTTTTTCTTTTAACATGAATCACGTTTACGCGATCCGCTGATGGGGTGCAGTCTGGTCCGATTACAAACCCGGGAATAAAATCTTGCCCCTCCCAGCGGTAAAAGTGCCTGTAATTACCTCATAATGACAAAAGACATCGCGGCTAAGCTTTAATCCTTAGATGGGATTAGCCCCGTTTCCGAGCACGGACACAAAGAAAGAGACCCAAACACAAGACAAGAGCGGAACCGTTTCCTTCCCCCTGGTCCGATCCGGCGGTACTCCTTAAAAAACCTTGACGCGGGAAAGCTCCTTTTAAGAATTCATTATCCGCGCATTAGCCTACGGGCAACACGTTGGGCATATTCACTGAAAAAGCCCCGGGGCTTTCATCCAGCGAGGCCTCATCTGTTGCTCACTTGGCTTTCATGACGGGATCTTCAGACATCTGGATCGGGAGGAACGGTCCAGCTGGAGCTTCCAGTCCGAGAGCATGACCAGACGCACGGGCGTCGAGTGGTCAGCCAAGCCATCTGCTTTCTGCACGGGAACGCATTCTTGCAACAAGAGGAATGCCATCAACCACAACAGTCCACATAGTTGCATACGCTTCCCCATTACTCGTCGATTGGGACTGCGGGGGGGGAGGTCCTTGAAGATGGTCCATCTGTGACTCCACCTCCAATAAAGAGTGATAATATTCCGGTAAAGCTTCTTCGCAGATTTACTGAGTTTAAGCTTTGCATGATCCGCTGATTATTAAACTAAGATCCGGCTTTAAATAGACTGGCATCTGGCAATATCACACGGCTACTTCTTACACGAACACCCAAACGTTATACGGAGGCAGGCAGACGGACGTGCGGCAGCATATGGTTTCGAGAAAGAAAAAAAAAAAAAGAATGGTTTGAGGCCGTAGCACTCAGCTGAGGTGACCTGTGACATGACGTCGGACGCAGTGGGCCCGATGAAGAGCGAGCGTACTCAAAGCGCCCCCCCCCCTCCACTTCCCCCTGTGGGGTGATGAATAAGTCAACCCTGGGGAGCTACAGAGTGTGAGCTAATAATCTGTTTATTTCGTGTCCAACTCGGTGTTCTGAGCAGTATTTCTTCATTTGAAAAGGAAGAAAAAGCGATGCGGCCGTCAGCGAGTGATCAAAGAGGCAAAAAGCCTCAATGGCCCCAATGTGCCATTCAGCCGCCGGTCGTCTTCATCTGCACCCAAAGACGGACAGCAAGAGAACACTCTTCAGACGCATCGACTCTCGACCCGCGTATTTTGGAAAAGCCGCATCACAAAAGACGTCTCTCTCCGTCTCTCTTTCCCCCGTGCTGAGACAGAGGGACACTTTGTGTAACTGCCTCAATCACGGGTTGCTATGGATACAATAAAAGCCGCGGCAAAAGCAAGACTATATTCTGTTTGTTTGTTCTTTGTGGAATGTTTGAGGGCACAGAACGTGGAGCTATTTATAGAACCGGCAGGAACATGATTTCACACGACGGTCAACGTCGGCCATGAAGGACACAGCATCCTTTAACCTCATAAAAACCAGGCGGGCTTTTCCCTCAGAGCAGCCACTTGGCGTATTGGCCGAAGGCGGCGATGCTCCGTATTTACCAGCTTTTAAGTGGGTGTTGTGCAAAGGAGAGAATGACATGGAGATAACTCGGTGAGTCACGTCGGCCAATGCCGGACGTCTACGCCCAGAAATGGAAGAAACGGAAGAAGAAAGCTGTTGGGTCGTCAGCTGACTGATGGGCCGCATTGATTCCAACAGATCCCCCGTTGGCCTGAGAGGACGCCAGTCCAGAGGAACTCGCTCACGGGCCAACGCTGATGGTCGGGCCGCGGGTCGGCCTCTTGCCACGTGTGCCCGTCCGAGGGTCGCAACCCTGCGACCATCCGCATTACCGATTAACCTGGCAATCGATCGAGTTATCACTATGACATTCAAAAAGGCATTTATGACGTGTGGTGTTTTGAGCGGCCAACAATCCAGATCCTACATTTTTACTTTTTTCATCCTCATCAACTGGTTCAGATGCCGGGTGTACAGGAATACACAAGCCTTCTGTTTACATACAGTGAATTGAAATTAAATCAATTTTTTACCCGTCTCCATCGTTTTCTCTGTAGCAACAATCAACACAGTCATGAGACGGTTGCATTTCGATAAGACAGCTTGATTTCGGTTTAGCTATTTTCTGGCTACGTTTAGCTTCGGTATGAGGGTCTCTGAATGGCACAATGATGGTGATCCCCAGTCAAGTATTAAACGATCCAATCTAGACAAACAGGTTTTTATTAACGGTTTGATTAAAAAAAGAAAGTCACCGGCGAAAACCTGAAGTGCATCATTCTCATTCTGAAAATAGGGAAAAAGTCTAAAAAATACATAACATGTAAGGGAACTGGTAAATATTCCCATTTCAGATGCTGGGTGACACTACGTCTTCTTAAACATACTCGGTGAAGAAATATAACTTTAATTTACTCTGACCACTGCTTCCAATTAGGTTTGTGTTGATGAATTAAAGTAAACAAGACACTGCCACTTTACAGTAATCGACCTACAATCTCTACATCTAAACTCACCTCGTGGAATACGTGTGAGAATAATGAGTCAAACCGTGAAAAAGGGACAAACTCCACGGAGGGACAGACCACAGGTGTCCCCTGCGAATTCACCGCCCCGCTCGGTTCCTGTTGCCAACGCAGCAATTCAAACTGCAAAAGACCCGCATGTGCTCTCGAGCCCCGCGCTCACACGGCCTCGATGTAAGAAAAAATACTATATATATATATAGAAAACAAAAACCACCAGCGAACTGACCCCGGCACGCGGAAGCGACAACTCAAACAGGGAAAGTCACGAGGGAGCCCATTAACAATTCTACCGAAAGCGACGGTCCTCCAGAGCCCCGGGCAGCGCGCGCTGTCAACTCCGCCGCTTAGTTCGAACGGAAGCCGGGTCACAAACGGCGAGGACACCGTTGACATTTCGCGCGACGCACGGGTATAAAATGACAGAAGAATGCTTACGGGTACGTGGGCGGAAGCCTACAGCATCCCGTCCCGAGGGCAGAGACACACGGTACCTGTGCTGTCGGGCTCCTGCCGCTCGCTCCTACGCCGGATCTCTGTGGAGGAGGCGGAGTCTGCTCGATGGGGCCGGAGTGACTGACGCGCTGCTTGAGCCAATCACGGTGGAGGATCAACCCCGAGGGGCGGGAGGGGAACAAAAAGGGGCCTTTCTGAACGCGGCACAGTGTGACGTGGGAAATAATTAAAATAATAATAATAACCAGAATAATAACGTCAAAAGACAGGAAAATGCGACCAAAAGGAAAGTTTAGCGTGAGACAATGGAGTGAGAAGGAAGCTCCAACTGAAGTTGAGTTAATTGCACCTGATTATTGTGACCTTTGTGTGTTAACGGGTCATTTGGTTTAAGTCATGTTCACACGTTGGTTTTACATTCTCACGTACGTTAGATTTAAAATGTTAATTAAAGAAATCCCATGTTCTCCTTCATTTCAGAACATAACACAGGTTGTGTCCTACGTTATCGGGAACAACGTTTCAAGAGCAACGAATGCGTCATAGCGTCAGAGGTCAGATAAAGTCACGCTGCATTCCATACCAACAAATGAGGGATATAAATGAAGAATATTTTAAGAGATTGCCCATTAAAAGCACAAGTTGTGTAATTGACTGGATCATTTTGCGTGAATAGCTCTCCAAAACCTCAAAACATTCCCGTTAATTATCACTAAATAAAAAAAAACATGGTTAGCTGGCTGTTTTGTATCTTTCATTGGAAAAAAGGATCACTTTACCGCTAGTCAATTTATGAATCCCTGATTACCTGTTGTGCGTTGTATAGGACACTGTTTATTCTTGAATAAGAACCAGAGAGTGTGTGTTTGCTTCATAACACAGTGACAATGACAGATTGTTTGGTGTTCTTCAAACATTCTGGTTTCAAAAGATGGCTTTTATCACAAGTGGCTGACTGTTTGCCAGAACGATGAGTAAGCGAGAGGAGTCGTGTGATTGCACCCGGACGGAATGAGCGTGTGGGTGATTTTTGATGCGCATGTGTTTATGTGTTTATATGTTCAGTGTCCGTCTTGAGTTCCGCTCCCCGTGACTTCTCCTTCAGTTTTCCAGGATCTTCCCTTACGGCTCCCTGAACTCCCTCACGCATCGGATTTGTTTACCAAACAAAACCAATTCCCTCCTTTGCATGGGCATGAGGCTGTCGCTTCCTGCCCGGGCCCATTTCTATAGCAACACAGAGCAGGGAAAACCTAAAACAGGGGGGAGGAACAGACGTCTTCTAAAGGAGCGGGGAGTTAAGGTTGGGTGTGTCCAGAAACATGGAAACCGACAAAACCAATGTTATTGTTTTAGGGGGCGCTTAAAGGGATGTTGGCGGTGATTTGTGACTGCGACCAAAATGAATGTTGGTTGCTGACACGCAGTTTAGTGTGATGCTGGAAGTGTAACACGAGGAAAGAAAAGAGGACATTTGTTTGTCTCACATATCTTTTCCGTTGCCTTGTGAGCAGTGCAGGAGGGAAAAGCCCCTGGCATACCTGACCATAGACCGACTCTGAGTCACACCTGCCTTCCCCAACACACACACACGCACATTCACACACAGTGAGGTAGCAAACCTGAAAATGTACCAGACATCCAATGGCGATCAAAAAACGTTCCCCGCGTAGCACGACTTCAACAACAAAGGGAACGATGATGTGGAGAAAGCAAGACCCCAGAGAAAAAAATAAAACGTAATTGAGGCTTGCATGATACTTGTATTCTAATGATATTATATCGCTGTCGCTGACAGCAACACAGATGCATTATTATAGCAGCAGACTATGTGTGACAGTGTCATCTGTAGGTCCGATGTGGCTACTGCACAGCGAGCACGTTGCATTCAGGGAGGATATTGAAACGTCTCTGCTGGTTTTCAGGGAGTTTGTGTTAACATAAGAAGGGGGGAGGAGGAGGGGTCCTTAATGCTTTTTTAACTACACACTCTCATTTACTGAGCGCTGTGCTCCAAAAAATTTGACCTTAAGTGTAAAGGGGCATGGGGGGAGGGAGGGGGTTAAAAGAAGAGCCAACACTCTACAACGGGAGAACCGCGTGTGTCTCAGAAGTTTAAGTGCACTTGAGCACTGACGGGGTCCCTCGTTCCATATCCAACATGACCTTTGACCCCGTTGAGCCATGTGGGTCCTACCAACCTCCCGTTTCTACTCTTTTTCTTTTGATTTAGAGAGAAGAAGAAAAACGTGTAATACATTTAACTTGATTAAACCATGAAAGTACCTTCTGGATAGAACACACATCTGTACTGTAAATATAATTCTACATACATTAGTACAAAGACAGGAAACAGCTGTTCAATCCAGATAATTCGTTTTCAAAACACATTATGAAAATGTTACATATGGATTAAACAATCTATAAATATAACTCAGGGGGGAAAAAGCATTTGCAATTATTCAAATGGAACGGATCTTGACAGTATCGGCAATAGAGGCGCCTTTTTCTGGAAAATAACCCCAAAAAAGTTTCTCAGAAGACACCGTGCTGTAACGTTCCACGTCTGCAGAGGGCAATGTTGCACAGAAGCACCACTGTGGCGGCTGCACGAAGAGAGTCGGCAGCTGCAGATCAGATGTCTCAGCTCTCTCCGAATCACAAACTGCCGACTTTGTTTTAATGGGTCATAAATCCCGCGCTCCTTGTGTTCTAGTTTGTGGCTTGTTTTGCTGTTACGTCTGCTCGAGTGATGCTAATCCGGTCCTCATGTGCACATGCAGCCTCGTGCAGCATATCCAGTCTGGAGTTCCTGTGTGTTATCTTCTGTGCAGCTCAGTGACCTGAAGGTTCTGAGGCATTACGTTGCCTGTGTGTCATTATGTGATTGAGGCTGATTGTGTGCATGGAGACAGTTCCTATCAAACCCAGCAGATCAAAGGGTCGCCCTTTCAGTACACACACAGTCTGTGCTTAACACTGCCCTCCTTATTCCTCCGTCTCTCCTTCCACCCTCTGCCCCCTTTTAACAGGGAAACAGCCTGCTCTCTAATTCTTTCCAGATGTCAAGTACCTCCCTTCCTCCCTTTCCCTCCTCCATTCCCTCCATTTTTAAGTCTCACAGGGTAGACTGAAACGTGGAAAGTTCTGCCCTCCCTCCCTCCCTCCCTCTCCTCCCTCCTCTTCCTCCTCCCCTCCCGGCTCGTTCAACATGTCGGGCTCAACGACAAAACATGACCCGGGGAGGTCAAGCAGGAGAGGCTGGAGCTGTCCCAAAGCGGAAAGGAATGCAAAGGCAAATGTGTTTCCCACGTTGCACGATGCGCCGTTGAAATCATCCGCTTGCTGCTGCGCTGTGTTTATTCGGCGCCAGCTGTTTGTGAAAAGGCCTGATTTCCGTCGAGTAGTAGAGACGTTTTTTCAAGTTACTGCAACTAGACACTCTGTCTCTTCTGTTTTTGCCCTCCGTCTGGCCCTCCCTTTTCCATTCCCTTGGTTGGGAACGTACTGGGATATCTGTGCAGGGGAGCAGTGTGAATGTCGGGGGTTGAACACATGGGGTCCAGGTGTTCCCTGCACACATAAGAAGGTGTCTGCATTCTGTGTAACGCACACGAGGTCTTCAATGTACGAAGAGGCCGGCCTCTCTTTCTCCCTCTAAGTGTATGAACACACTCACTCATCGGCCCACACACACACACACACACGTCTTTAATGCGCGTGAGCGTGGAGCGATGACTAAAACACTTAACGGACAGAGCAGCTGCTGCTCATGCAAACTCTCCTCACACACATACACACGTAAAAACTCACACAATTCCACTTCATTTCATTGTTACCTCTTTTGCTTCCCTTTGCTTCACTCTGCAAAATATAGACTTCACACAAACGCGTGGTCACAAACAAAAGTGCACACACACAAACGGGCCGACACTTGAGTTCTGACTCCGTACACAGTGACAGTTTTAGATTTGTCTGGACTATTTTCTATGGCGCACCACTTGAGGAACAAAACCTATACGGTTCATCTTTGCCGCGACCGCTTCCTTTTACACTGATTACTACGATAAGTCCCGTGCGCTGGTTTCACGGCGTGTTGTGTTACCAGGATGTGTCCCACACTGCGTGTCTCTCTGGTGAATGTTGGGCTCTCGGGGGGGGGGGGAAGAGAGCTGCTGAGATCTCTGCGTTCTGAAACACAACAGGATGCTCATGTTTCCAGTAGCACAGCTTCAGGCGAGTTTGCGGCTTCGTGTGAGGCTCATTAGGGACCTGGCCGTGTCGGTCCTTTACGTGTTTACATGGGGCACATTTTAACACGTCTCTGGGAACGTTTTTGATAAATGACAACTTCAAGAGTATCACAAACTGTGTTTAATGGGACTTTTTCAATCTCCCAAGCACATGTGTGCGAGCAAGAATGTTTAGTGCTTAATCTGTACTTGTGTGCATTCTCACAGCGTGATAATACACAGCTTTTAATCTCTTTTCACATGCTAGCTTTGCGGCTATGCGTGGTATTTTTTATGCATTAAAGATTTGGATTAGTTTTTGCGTCCAGAGAGGAATAGTTAGATTTTTTGGCGGAAGTACTTGTATTCTTGCAGTAAGATGGATACATACTCACATAGTAAATGTGGGGGAGTTGGTTAGCTTGGCCTATATAGCATAACAGCAAGAGACATGAGCCATTAGCCGTTAGCGGTTTTGAGCAAAGATCTTGTGACCTTTAAACATAGTCAGGTTGGCTGTGTCCTTATATTATCTAATATAATTCATGCTCGGCCATTTCAACATAATGGGGTCCCTGTTAAACTATATGACACCTGTATTTTTCTTATTGTGAAATGTTTGCTGGCAAAATGGCTTGTTCAGAGCAATAGAAAATTCAACACATCGTTTTAAAATATAGTGTAAAGGAAAAATATTAGAAATCTCTCTGTTGCTTGCAGACTGACTCTTTTTTTTCCCAGCGTCCGACCACACTTCTTATGTGTCCCTCTCCCTTATTCACATAAAAGCTGTTTCAGCTGTGCTGGTGAAATGTAACACTCCTATGTGACCTACAAATGCTGCAGACATGCAAACACAAACTCACCTGCCCTGAATAGTCTTTGTTTCACGCGGACACACTGAAACAGGCCCGCTCACATGCAGACAGATATACGACAAGCCCTTCTCTCTGTCGTCCCCCCCCCTCAGCCCCCCACCTCGATGGAATCAGGTTTTTTCTTCCACTCTTTCTGCTGAGAGACTCAAATGTCCTATGGCCGGTTGATTAGACTCTGAGAGGCCCGCTGGGAGCAGAGGGAGGTGATGAAAGGAGGGAATGGTAGAAACCAGCCTGCAGGCGTCATTGTGTGCCAGAATCTTCATGGATCTGGGTCAACTTTAGAACTCTTTTTCCCTCTACAGTCTCTGTAGATCAGTCTTACACGTCCCTCCCTGTTTCTATCTTTCATGCTTTATGGCCATCTAATTTACACAACTCGCTCTCCTGGGAATGATACGTATTCCTTTTACTCCTCCAAATGTTACTACAATGAAGTTGAGATGAAGCTGTTGTTTTTCTTCTGCAGCGTAAGCCGATGCATGCTGACATCTTTTGTGTGTTCCTTTACACAGACCAGGCGATGGCCATGAAACTAACGGGACCCGTCCCAATGTGTCTGAGGCCAAGTGTCTGAGTGTTCTCCCAAATGTTCTTCAGAGAGAAAGAAAGGAATAAGCGGGGGGAATACCAAGGCCACATGGACAGACAGGAAATGACCTCCCAGAGAAAGGGGGGGGGGGGGGGGTCGGGTTTCTTTCTGTGATTCTCACGCACACTGAGTTATAAAGTCTGTGATATAAACAGACAGATATGCATGAGAATGAGAAGGTGAATCAGTGTGTCCATGAGGCTTTCGCTGCATGCTGGATACGCGTGGAGCCGCAATGGTCATCCATCAACCCGGCTCTGGAAACCATTGCATCATTTGCTTCTCACTGGAAGTTGTATAAACGTATACGTGTGACCCTGTTTGCATGAGTGCATTAGGACCGCTTCTTCTCTCCACAGGTGACAAATCTCTGTTCACAGGCATCAACGTCATATGTTGCACTTGAGTGTGTACAAAACAAATTGGCAAGTGAGTGTAAAAGTGGAAGCAGTCGGCTAAAATTAGTGTAAAAAGTTCTTACCATGCTTCTCCAAATGGAGAAGCATGAATGCAAACTTGACCAAAGCAACCTGTATCCAATTTTATATAGTTGATCTTTCAAATATTGTCCAGTTAGAAATGATGGGATTGCGGTGTCGATTAAGGAAAGCATGAGCCGTGTCGGACAGGAAAGGTCAGTGATCTATTTGTACTGTAAGCACTCTACCTCATGTGCCATAAACGTGCTGATGTCTTGGCAGAAACACACTTTTCAGACACGACTGGAACATGAACCCTGGCTTGACCAAAACTCACAATCGTTCCTCAATCTGCAAAATCTCAGCACAAAATCTCATGCTGCACACACCCTGCATTTATTCCCTCACTTTAAGGTTGGAAGATCTTTAACTCAGATTTGGCACCTCTCCTCCTTTAGTCTTAACACACGCACTTAACGTCCTGAATTCCACATCTGCAAATGTGAACCATCTGGGCTCCTTGTGCCCCGGCAATACGAGGCGCGTTAATGAGAGAATGGCAAATTACAGTCAAACTGCATGATGATGGCGTTCCTCCTGCAGGCGACCGAGTGGGCTGTTGATGTGTTGATTGTAGCTCTCTGTATCTTTCCTCGGACGGCTCAGCCAGCAGAATCCACCCCAAAGCTGTCCATTAACAGCTGTTTTGTGAATTATCAGTTTATCTAAACCAATAACATGAATTCAAGCGTTTTGTTAATCTCGGATTATGAGTCAGATTTTTCTCTCTCTCTCTCTTCGCCCTGTTGCGGCGGATACCAAGACTTTGAGACTCTCCTGGGATTCCGTGGGAAGGAAACCTTCCGATCCAAATCTCAGACCCCCGGTGGCCGCGGGGGCGCGCAGAAAACTCGGTCAAAGGGTTCCTCAATGTCTCCCTCCCTCTCTCACCGTACACGTTTGTTTGTGCTTAATTGTATGCGTGCACGCGCGAAACTGTTCGTGCGTCAAGACTTGTGCGCATCTGGTTTTGGCAGGGTCGCAGAGTTGCGGGGGAGGGACTATTTCACGTGTGTGTGTGTGTGTGCGTGTGTGTTTGTGTGTGCGCGCATGTGTTACCACGCTCTGCGCATGAACTTTGTAATTCGCAGCAGATGACCACTGGGGGGGATGGGGGCTTCATTTTGTGGTGGCGAGTGTTCCCTCAGACAGCATCAGAGCGCACCGCGCGGATTCACTTGGTCGACACGAGAAGTGATGGAGCCGCGTGCTTCACGTGTGCAGTGCCTCTTTTTAGGGCAGCAAGTGCATTATGGACGTGTCAGTTTTGCGCGTGAGGGAGGAGAAGGAGGGCGACTGCACGTGAACACCGCAGAGTGAATGCCGCATGCAGTTTCTGGCCGTGCCAGCCGCACAGTGGGAATGGATACCGGCTACTTCCTGGCGGCGACCTGCTTGGTGCTGCTGTCGCTCAACGGGTTCGTCTTTCCCTCGCAGGCGACGCGCTTTTGTCCCGACCGGTGCGACTGTCACAACCCGCAGCACCTCATGTGCACCAATCGAGGCTTGCGCACTGTGCCCCAACCCGTCGCGCGGGTGCTCGAGGAGGTGCTGATCTTCAGCCTAGGTGGTAACTTCATTGGTAACATCTCCGCCTTTGACTTCACACGGTACAGTAATCTCGTACGGTTGAATTTACAATACAATCAGATACAAACTATTCACCCAAAAGCATTTGAGAAACTCTACCAGTTGGAGGAGCTGTACTTGGGACATAATGGGTTATCGAATATACCCGCTGGTACTCTCCAACCCCTAAAGAAATTAACTGTTCTTTGCGGAAATAATAACAATATTAGGGAAATCACACCGGAGCTCTTTGCTAATTTGGATAAGCTTGTTAAATTGCGTCTGGATGACAACTCAATAGACGTCCTGCAGGACTTTGCGTTTAAAAGTTTGACCAGCCTACATTATCTCCATCTGGAATCCAACAAACTGCAGCATATTCACAGAAACGCGTTCTCCGACCTCTCCAACCTGCGTTTTCTGAACCTGGCCCAGAACAAGCTGTCAGCCGTGCGCAATGCAGTCACCTTCTCCCAACTCACAGCTCTGACCACTCTGCTGCTCTCTGAAAACGAGATCCAGTACGTCGGAAACCACGTCTTCCAAAACCTAAAAAAGCTGTCAAAACTCTCCCTCAGCAACAACAGAATCTCTCGGCTGGACAGCGGAGCTCTGAAGGGGCTGTCGAGGCTCAGAGAGCTTCAGGTGGACGGCAACAAGCTGGAGGAAATCCCCGCCGGTGTCCTGAACGCTCTGGAGCGCATCGAGGAGCTGGACTTCAGCCGCAACCGGATTTCCAGCGTGGACTCCTCTGCTTTTTCCCAACTTAAACACCTGAGAGTGCTGAAGCTGAAGAACAACGTGCTCACCAGTCTGTCCGGGGACATTTTTGCCCTCAACAACTTGCTTCATGACCTGGATCTCCATGGCAACAAATGGACGTGCGACTGTCGACTGGAGGAGCTGAAAAGGTGGATGACTGCTGCGCATTCTCAGGGCAAATTATTGACTGTTTTTGTGCGGTGTCACCGCCCGGCATCACTGAGGGGGAAATATCTGGACTATGTGAACGGCTCCCAGCTGCAGCCTCTCGGGAACTGGACCCACTTGTGCAGGAGCCAAGTTGAGCCCGAGGAGAGCCGGGGAGGGCGTGTGTTGGTAAAGGTGGAGGAAAAAGAGGTCAGGATGGTGGATCCAATGAAGCAGTTGGGGGGGGGGGGTGAAGAAGTGCAGGCGGAGGAGACGGAAGGCGTTGGTTTGAGGCAGGGGTACAGGGATGGAGTCATTATGAAGAACGAGCGAGAGGAAAGGAAGAAGGAAGGACAGGAGGAGGTGAGAATTCAAGGGGACCAAAGGGGTCTTTCAGAGGCAGAATCCTCTTCTTTCACTGAAAGAAAGAAATCAAAGAAGGAGCCGCTCGGCCCAAGGTCACGACCTTCTGCAGAGGCTGCTGGGAAACGTGCCAAAGGTAGACAAAGGTCCAATAACGGCCCCAGAACCGATCCAACAGCTATTTCTATAACAAGTCACGCTGGAAACCAAAAGAGTAACTCCACTAATCCAAACACACGGCCCACCGCCACTCCTCCGACCCGGTCAGGAGAAAGGTTTGATCTTCTGAGGTCAGATCAGGAAAAGGCTGCCCCTGTGATCACAGATCCTTGTCTGTTCAACCGCCACTTCATCACCAATGTTTCAGTGGCTCAAGTGACATCCAGCACTGTCACCATCTACTGGACTACCAAAGACCACCGGCGCTCCACGCCAGGACTCGGGCAGGGCCTAGATGAAGTCCAGTACCGGATCCTGTTTGACCGCTTTGGCAATCCGGATCGCTTCCCCCGCTATGTCTACGCCGTTGGCACGGCTCGCTCCGTCACCCTCCGAGAACTCAGCCCTGACGTGACCTACATGGTCTGTGTGGAGGGAGTGGTCGGGGGCTCCGTGTGTCATGTGGCGCCCCGTGACCACTGTGCCGGTCTGGTCACTCTACCCGAGGTGCTCAGGCACGGAGGCAAGCTGACCACTGACCTCCAGCTAGTGACGGTGGCCACACTGGCCGGGAACGCCGCGCTGCTGCTGGTCATCGCCGGCTTCTGGCTGGGCCGGCGCCTGAAGAGGAGGCTGCAGAGGAGGAAGTCGGCCGTGCACGTGCGGCACATGTACTCCACCCGGAGACAGTTTCGTCCGGCCGCGGCGGCGGCGGCCCCTCTGTCCGCCGACTTCACCAGCTACCAGAGCAGCCGTCAGGCTCGTCTACCCCCGCTAGAGGAAGGGGACCTCATCGAGTTCCCCTGTGAGCGCTTTATGGACGGCAACAGCGTCCGCAGAGACGGCAGCATGCAGAGATTCTCTGACTAGAGCAGAAACACTTCTCCCATTTTTTACTTTGCCTGCCTGGTCTTATCCCCTCTGTTCTCAGACCTCGGTATCATGTACCATGTAACATGTTTGTGGATGTGGACAAAGCCGAGGCAACAGTTTCACCTTTTAGTGTCTCGGGTTTCCAGTTTGACCAAAAGAAACACTTTTAGACGGACAATAGGAAAGCTGAGCTCATCAGTACCTTTTCAAACACCGGGAGGAAGTCGAATGCCTCTGACTTCCTCTTCCTGCTTTGGGTCTTTCCTGTTCCATTTCCTTGCACCTGCGAGTCTTCCTTTTAGTGCAACTTCATCATTTGGTGTGTGCGCATACGCATGAATGGTTGCTCACTGATTTCAACTATGGTGCTAATGTTGAGTTCATAGACGTCATGTGGTCTTGTTGTTTGTACAGTGTGTAATGATGGCTGCTGGTTGGCAGAGAAAACGATTTGTTTTGTATTACATCTATCAAGTTTTATACTTTTATATATGAATCTGTATTACATGAAGAAGTAAAATCCCATACAATGTGATTGATTTGATGTTTCTTTCTAGGATTTAGTTGTTACTAAATCCATAACCTTCAAATATCTACTATGTAAACCACTGATTATGTAAAGAATACGGGGATAATAGGTCTAAAGGGATTTATGAGTGTTTTTTTGTACATTCATATATTTGCAGGCAAGATATAATCATTTTTTTATTATAGTTTACAAATATATCATAATTTGGCGTCTCATGGATACTATACATGTTCTGGATATTGGTTTTAAAAGTTCAAATGAAACACTGGTAATATAAACAAGTATAATAATACATTTCTTGAATTCCAAAAGTGCAGCAATTCATAATTCTATCATGTGCAACTTACATTTAAGGGGGAGACCTGGAGAACCTTTGTAGATTGGGGAAGATAATGACATATAATACGTGTGTGTGTGTGTGTGTGTCTGTGTGAGAGGGCGTGTGCATCCATGCTTTTGCATGAGCGTCACGTGAAGGTCTGGCAATAGTTAAGCAGTCCCTTTGTTAGGTGGGTGGAGTATCTCACACTAATCAAGCACACATGCACAATGACACGCATAAACTCACATATGGATTCAAAATGAACGCATGCAAGTTATATGCAAGTTATATTCATATCACCAGACAGGAACCGAGGTGTCAGAATGAAAAGCTTTTGATAAAATAAGACAAACGGAAGAGTCTACAACTGGTACCACAATCAGGTCCTCAGGTTCGGGACACTTTCATTTACTGACAGACAAATGCATTGTTGAAATAAAAGACAATGCCTTCCCTTTGTGTGTTACACAGATAATACATTCATAAGAAACCTATTGGTCTTTTTATTGGTGAAACATAAAACCGGCCATGATCTGTGTTGCTGACCACTCCAGGTATAATGGTCTGCTCTCATTGACAAAAGCAGTCACTAGATGGCAGACTAGACCATACGGTATGTACAGAACACATTTATAACCGTAATCTCAAACCAAAGGTTTAGAGGGTAGAATATCAGACAGACTTTATAAAAAAATACAAGGAAGTACTAATAAGTAATTAATAATACGTTTTCTCTTATTATTTGACAGTGATTAGAACATTCGGTGCGGTTCTTTGTTTGTGTCTTTGTGCAGTTTTTAAAAAGAGTCAGAGAGGAAATATTGTTCAGTTCTGTTCTAAAACTGCTCTGGGTTTGATTTAAACATTTTGTTTGTATTGATTGTAGAAAAATACATCATTTTGACAGGAGAAGGCACATGGTGGTGAAATATAAAACAAAAATATTAGTTTTTTTTTTATTAAGAGCAAAACATACTCAAAATGTGTGATGATTTCTGTGCAGTCGGTCCGTAGAAGACAGATTGCTGCGAACAGAAACACTTTTTGGAACCAGTTCTCATGAAACCATCACAGGCTTTTAGAAAAGGTTGTTTTTGCACCTGCTGTGGAAATGTACCCGTGTGGTCACATGGTTTTATGAATCTCCCTATCCAGTTCAGTATTTAATCTCAAATGTGAAGCCACACGGAACCCCCGGCTGAGCGAGACTTTAGTGTGGTTTTGACATAATTCGGTCTGGTTGGATTCGGCCCCTCCTCGGTGTGGTGAGGGCTAACGTCCGGGCCCGGGGTTGTGCCCCGTGTCGCCTTTAGAGGTCGAGGAGGTGGAGATGCCGTTGTGTTGAATGGCCCGCAGATGTGACCCGGGACCTAAAGGGGTGGGACTTCCGCCTGGGCTCACCCCTGCAGCTGGACACAGAGACAGCTGTCAATCAAAGTCACAGATCATGTGTGGGTTGTGTTGGATGGAGTGTGTTGGGGTTGTGTGGGGTTTGTGAGCATGTGCATGCAAATGAATGAAAAGATCACTACACCTCAAATTAAAGGAAAATATCTCTTTTATTTCATTAAATGAATACTGTACATACAGGTAAAAAGACAACGATAGAAATATACGAAAGTAACACATGCCAACATTGCATCCATTTTGTTCTCTGAAGCTCAATATTTAAAACATAAAGGCTGGTTTAATTTAAGCCACAAGGTGCAGTATTTGTTTCTTTTCTTTAAGGTCACATACAGGTTCAATTGTTGTTGAACATTAACTTTCGCCTGCCTCGAATCCAAGATAATCATTGTGTGCATTTTGTTCCAAGCAACTTCATGCAAGGCAAAATGCCGCTCTGGAGCAGAGGTTCTCAATGTTTCTGAGTCGCAACACCCCCAAGCGTTATCCAATGTGCTCTGGCTTTGTAGATTCTGGACTTTTTATCTCCCCCTGACCTCCTGGAAAACCCCTGGTCAGAGACTTATGTGCAGGCATACTTTTTAAGCATTCAATAAAGTCTATTATGAGGCAAATCATATCACTGATACAGGCAATGTAAAAAAAAAAACACTCCCCGGTCTGAAGTATGTTATTCAATCTTTATATTTAGTATCTAACAAAAAAAAGATTGTCCACAACCATCTGGCCACCCCGAGGAATTATGCTCCGACTCGACCTCCAGGTGAACCACTGCTCTGTAGTGTTTTAAATACCGTCAATGTTCATTGAATGAAAATGAAAATGAAAAATGCATTCCTCTAAATGGAGAGTGAAGAGTGCTGTGCTTTCCCCCCGGATTGCCTCTCCACATAGGAATAAAAGTGCATGTACCAATATGTTTCAAAGCAGAGTCTTTAGTGCTGTTTAGGTCCCTATGTGTGCTGAGGGGTGGAGCGCCGTAACAGGACATAACGTAACCAGTCTTTCCCCTCTGTGCACATAGCGGCATAAGGCATAAGGCATCAAAGTTAAACCCTCTGTGGTGGATGGAGATGATTGGTGTCAGGCGTCTGGTACAGCTGGTGAGAGTTCTAGAGAGGAAGTGCGGGACGGGGAGGAGGGGGAGGTGGGGCGGCTTTTACTCACTGGGGTACCCCTTTGCCTCTCTCTGCCGGGCGGTGACGGGGCAATCCTTGTGGGTGAGCAGAATCTGCTTCAGTTGACCCACCTCTGACCTCAACGACGTCACCTCGTTCTGGGGGAACATGCAGCAAAAAAACACACTCAGTACCCTGGATGTTTTAATTTGCCAGCGATCGCGCGTGCGCTGTGTGCGCGTCCCACCTGTAGCTGCAGGTTCGTGTGCGTCAGCTCTTCGGCTTTCTTCTCCAGCGACGACACCCACACTTTCCTCTTCTGTCGGCAGCGGGTGGCTGCCGCCCGGTTCCGCTCCAGGAACTTCTGTCTGCGCTCGTCGGGGTCCTGCTCTGCCGTCCTCCTGCGACGGTGGCCGCCGCCACCTCCTCCTCCTCCAATGCTGCCACCATCCTGCACTGCATGCTGGGAGTGGGATGGATGGGAGGGCTGCATCTGCTGTGCAACTGGCGATAACTATACAAGAGGGGAAAGCAACATCTTAAAAGTAGCATCCCTGAGCCTTTAGGCAGAGGATATGAAGTCCTGAGTGCAATGTCGCCGAGCTCATCGGTAGATGATCAGAAAGCGCGTGTACCTGGGCTGGAACAGACATGGCGTGTTCAGGTGGCGAGCCCTGCTGCAGATGGGGAGGCGGGGCTTGGTTAGCCTGTCCGTGGTGGCCGTGGGTGCTTCCCGGATGCTGCGGAGGTGAACCATTGCATTGCTGCTGGAAGGTGAGGGGTGGAGCTTGTAGTTGCGGATGATGAGGGTGATGGTGATGGTGTTGCAGTGGAGGTGCCTGGTGGCGCTGTGACATCATTTCCATCATGTGACCCATAGATGTCACTGGGTTGTTGATGGCTGCCATTGTTGGGTGGTGCTGTTGGAAGTGGTGGCCCCCGGCCTGTTTGGATCTCTGAGAGGAGATTTAAAAGATGGATAATGATATTTTAAGATATAAAGGATCCACAGTAAGAGCCTTTATGCAGCTTTTCCACACAACGTTTTTCTCTCTACAGTTTAAAAGGTCTAAACCGACAGAGATGGAGTCGTACATTAAGATAAACCCAGTGGAGCCTCAGTATTTGACTCATTATGACTTTCACATCCTCCTTCCGTCGGAGTTTATTATGGCCTCTAGGAATGTTAGAGACAACCAATTTCTAATCGGCTGGTTAACTTATCGCATGCTAGGGCCAAGCGGGCCAGTACCAGTAACGCTGGATGGGAGTTCACTTGGGCCTTGACAAATTTTGGGTTAAGTTTGACCGCTGAGGTTTTAACATAAATCTGAAACTGATTGATAGTCCTCCAACCTTTCTACATGTATGTGTATTATTGAAGAAGAGCAAAGATGACACATATCCTGCAACCAATACTGTTATATTGCATTCTGAGCATGAAAGGACCTCTGACATTGCCATCGTGGGTACAAATACGAATCCCAGAAAAGGCCCATAAACATCTGTAATGGTCTTATGTTTGTATTTTACAAAACGTGAATAGCTTTCAAAAAGAGTCCATTCAGAAACATAAACATATATATCCGCACACAGTCTGTCTCAACACTTAACCAGTGATACTAAACCATCTTGGAGTTGATATCGCGTTCATGGAAAGCTTGAGGATATACATAAACTTTTTCCGTCGCTCTCACACTGGCTGTGGTGCGTTTGACCCCCATCACCGGCTAAATTGGTAACAGCAGACAAGCTGCCGGCCGCAGTGTCCTTAACCTACCGAGAGCGAAAACAAAAACTACAAGCGCTGCTCGCCACAATCTTAGCTCATCTTCGCCTTTTCTCCTAATTAACCACAGCGGCGAAAACAATCGAAGAAGAGACGGATAATGTGTCCCAATAAATGCAGCTTGATGGCTTCACACTTTGTCGTTCACAATTCACAGACTGTAAGAGCTAAATTAAACCTCATCTCACCTTTCTCCTACACTAAGCAGAGGAGAGAGGTCATGTTTAGAGCATGACATCACCCCCTCCCTCTAACCCCCCTCCCCTCCCCTGGCCATTTTGCTATCTGTTCCCCGTTACACAATAATTCTTTAAGAGAAGAAGCAGATTTTTTTTCTCCCCTCCAACCATTCAACAACGAAAAAAAAGGGAGCACATTTAGCCGCTGCCAAGGATGAGGTCACCGAGCTGTACGTGCCAGCTTTACCAGCCGGCTGCCAGTCACACACACACACACACACACACACACACACACACGCATGCGCACACACACACGCGCACACACCGAACAGGACGGGACACGAGTAGTTGGGCTCTGTTTACTACATAGAAACACCCTGACACTGGGGCCCGTGGTTACATCATGGGTCTCCTTGGCCCGGATGACACACCGCGTTGATATTTCTGTCTGGAGGGATCAGTGAATGAAGACACAGAACTGTACACGAAACAGTTATCCACTTGTTAAACGTTCACTTTCCCACTTCGGCCCGAGTTGCGCAGTTTACTGTACGACGGAGGCATGTTTATAGACCCGCTGTGGTTTTTACAGAGTCGGAGTCCTGTTTCACGCCCTGGAAATGCAAAACACAACACCTGGCAAGACTAAACTACAATGGAATTAAGTTGGTCCTGAGAAGAAGTACGTGCGCTCAAAGGAGAGAGAGGTTCAGATATGAACCTGCGAAGGGAGCAGCTCTGAAACCTAAAACCACTTTTAATTTGACCGCTCTGGCAAACAAACTCTGCACATGAAGTCATAGCCTGTGTGTGTGTTTTTTTTTTGTGTGCGGATGCAGGGCGATTTCACAGTTTTCCTTTTGAAGTCGCTTTTGATAGCACACACATCTTTAATAATTCAAACGACACGCAGCTAGAGAGAGGAAATGTAAAATTTACCGGGGCTGAGATTGAGAGCAGGTTGACACGAGGAAAATAAAACAACCCAGAAAGCCAGGGAGAGCATGTAGGTTCGGACTTCCTGTGTGCGTGTGTGTGTGTGTGTGTGTGTACACTGTTTCCTGCCTTTACTGATTAGGAAGAAAAGAATCCAAAATGCAGAACATAAGATGAAGTGTGTATAATTGATTTAATTCTAAAGTAGAATTAGAATAGTGTGATCATGTACAGCTTGAAGGTATAGTTCTTTGATTAAATCTTTGTCTGTTAAATGAGGCAAATATGAGGCTAAAGCCAGCAGATGGTAATTGTAGCTGAGCATGAAGTATGGAACCAGAAGGAAACGGTTAGACTGGGTCTGTCCAAAATGAAAATGATGTTTTAGGATTTATTGGCCCTGAGGAGTTGCCATGCAATCAGCAGAGATTCCAGGAAATTATTTCTCTGAAACAAGCCATTGTGTGGCTCCTGTAAAAGAGCAAATTGTGATTTTTACACTTCAGATAAAGAAGTGAGCTCAAAAGTGAGCTTTAGAGGCGATAGTAGGGCTTTGCTGCAGTTGGACTCCCCCCCCCCTTGTTTTCAGTCTTTATGCTAAGCTAACCAGCTGCCAGTACTGTCAGGATGCCATTGGTAAAACATTTAACCACAATTCTTTCAGAAACCAAACAACCAAATTGTGTTTCCCAAAATGTCGCACCATTCGTTCAATACCGAAATATTCTGATTTAGGCCTCATACAGCGGCAGAGAGTCAGAAGATACGTCGTCAGTACCTGGGGCGAGGAGCAGGAGAGGTTGTGTGCTGGACCTGGTAAACCCATTAAACACGACATTTGCTTCTCTATCTGAAAAGGAAAGAAATTGACACAAAAATAACCTTTCAGCTGTGACAAGAAAAAGCTATATCACAGACGTAAGCTCAAGTTTAACGAGTTCTCCATAAGGTCATACCCATTTGCAGTTTGACACTTTTGATTAATTCATACACAAGAGTGAAGTGAATTTTCCTGTCAGCCGTGTATATTTTGAACTCGGTGATCTTGACCGTGCACCTTGGCCATTACACCTGCATCCATAAATGATGATGCACGCGTGTGCGATATATATATATATGAAAATGCGCAAAGGATCCAGGTCCCAGTGTACTTACGGGCAAGTGGTGAGCAGAGGCCCCTTGCATGGCGGGGTCCGGCAGGGTGCCAGGCAGGGAGGCCGGCAGCGGTTGCCTTTGTCTGTTCCGCATGTGGAGGAGGGAGGACAGCGACCCCGGAACTGGCCTGTGGTCAGCCACAAAGACAGGGAGGGGGAGGGAGAGAGAGAGAGAGAGGAGCAGGTCAAGCCTAGAGAGTGCTATCGACAGCCAAGGTTTCAATTATCAGAGACGGGGAGAGGTTTCAAGTTGAAACATTTATAGCTGCTATGGCAGATGGGGGTTAGGCGGAGATAGATGGTCAGAAAAGGTCATTAGGTGCGAAATCTACAGGCCGATCGGAGAAGAATTATGACCAAATCTAGAATAGAATTGATATACAACACATTAGCTGTTTTTCCTTATCTTCCTAATATAGTTCTGACTCCACCTAATATAATGGATGGGATTGGAATTTCACCTCCAGTGCTAAAAAGTATTGAAAAGTTTAACTATTTGCTGTTTGTTTTTTCAAAAACAATGTTATATTTTAAATAATCCCCCACGCCTCAATGTGAAAACCTTTCATTGGAACCAGTTCCAGCTAGAAAAGTGGTCCTAATAAAAACTATTGTTTTGTGGATTATCCAGATTAATATGGACATATGCTGCTGGAAAGAGTTTTTTTCCGTTTTCAAAAGTAATTGTGTGGACCAAAATCTTTATTATATTTACATCCACTGCACTGACAACATATATTTAGCCCAAATAAGCCACTCTATATTTTATTAGGAGAGTAGAAAATGACTTTGGCTGTATCACAGCCAGGTTTTTCTTTTGTTGTACAAATTATTATTCTTTCATACTTCTGAGATAAACTGCGTGTTAAATTATTTCCGTTCATGTTTATTTTATCTGCTCATATAACAAAATATATAGGGTTATATTTTCTCATTATGGTAACTGTGCCTAAACATATACTATTAAAGCAGAATTTGTGACTGAATGTGTCATTTTTCTTCTTCCACTCAGACACAGAACACACTGATTATCTGAGGTTCAGTGTTTAATGTTGTCTAGAGTCACTTGCAACCAAGCTTTGCGTATGTGACACTATAAAAAAACCCTCATCATACCGATAAAAGGATGAAAGGTTGGTTATAATCTCTTATTGGCGTGAGCACATAAGGCACAAGCAGAGGTTTGAGGTGGGGCAACGTGAGTGGAAACTATTGTGAGGCGAAAAACGTGACAAGGAAAACAAAACAAAAAACGACAAAATAAAGTGACAGCTTGAGAGGGAGGAAAGACGCTCAGGGATCACAGCGGGGGGGACGTAGAGACCCGGGGTGCCATGTGCTGACCTAACCGCTTTGGCTCTCTGCCAATCGGACAGCGCGGGCCTCCGCGGCCGTGGTGAGGTCATCGGCAAATGATGTCATCTCTCGTTCTGGGGTAAGCGGCCCGTTTAACGTACAGCAAAGTACAGACGAACCAAAACAGCGTTTTTTCTAACGTAACCACAACAGCGCTGCCGGGCCTACAGCCAGACTCTCAGAGAGCAGGTCGCTATGGAAACAGGTCGTAAACACGAGGGGAAACAGTCAGACACACAATCCACGGTTCGTAAAGCAACACTTGTGCTGGTTGCACTGACTAACATGCCGTCTGGGTTCACCGGTTTATGAACCATAATCAACTGTCCCTCCCTGCTGTCCTGTCCCATCCTGTCCTGTCTGCTCATGGACAGATGTTTGAAGCTCATTATGTCATTGACTTACTTTTGGTTCATCGTATCTGTGAAGATGTGAAACTTTGTTTATCTACTGTACTGTACGTCTGGCAGGCAGAAGTCACAAGGCTCCATCGGTAAAGTGAATGATAGGTGCACTGGTGACCATGGGTTAATAATAATTAATAAATAATACATTTAAAATCTATGAAAAACAAATAAAGTGGCAGTGGAAATGGAAGTTGAGTTTTAGGTTTCAGTGAGTACGTGTTTGGTTTGGTTTTATCTTGTGTTGTGCTTCTTTTTGTTGTTCAGATAACCGAAATGTATATAAACTTATAATTGCATTGATTCAATCCGGTCAGTCCAGTTTGAACTTTTACCTATGTAATATATACTAAATCAGTTTTCCTAATTAATAAAGTATATAATTTAGCTGCAACTACAATGTTACCATCCTTGTTCATTTAAATCTGTGAAAAGTTGGAATTTGACCAACCTAAACCACCACAGCGTAGAGCACAATTTTTCCCATCAAACAGCGTGCTCCAATTAAAACTAGTGTGACATCTTTTCATTAAACCCACGATATGTGCATTGCATAAATCCAAATCTGAAGTCGGAATGTCAGGAGGAGGGAAAGCAGTTGGTGGGAGCTGGTCAGATGAAAGACAGGAACTCCTCTAATCTGTCTGTTAAACGGGCCGATAACCAGGGAGCCGTGGAAGCTGCAGAGCCGCTGGGAGACTCCAGTCTGGCTCTCTTAACAGACATAACAGAGGCAGCATTTTGAGTGGCAGGCTGGGTCGTGTCAGTGGGTTTCAGAGGGGGGTGGCGGGTGGAGGGGGTATGTGCAGCGGTTCTCCATCTCTTTTGCTCCGACTTTGTTCTTCAGTAAATTGATGTCTGATTTTTTTTCTTTCTCTCAGTTCATTAGTGCAGTGGTAAATTATGCAGGGGGAAATGCCCGTCCGTGCCAGACAGAGTGAGTTATAAGACATCCACAACAGGATGGGCGAGACGGGGTGAAGGAGACGAAGAAAAACCACGCGTGTCTATGGGATGAAGGAATGAGCGTAGCTGCGTGTGGACGCACAGTAAAATCTGCACCCTATGTGTGTGTATACGAGCGCGCCGCTCAGGTGTGTGTGTGTGTGTGTGTGTGCGGCCGCACTCACCCTGAGTGTGCGAGGGTGGAAGGAGCCTGGGTGATGACTGATCCGGCCTGCGAGGAGGACAGCGCTTGCTGGGCCGCCAGGCTGCAGCTGGGGCCCATCATGGGGCCATGGGAGTGGAGGTGCAGCAGGGGGTGGGGGTGGGGATGGTGCAGCGGCGGCTGCGGGTGCTGAGGTCGGGGTGGGTGCTGGAGCTGAAGCTGAGGTTTGAGCTGCTGCTGGTTCATGCAGGGCGGCCCATTGTGAGAAAGCCTCTGTGGGGAGAAGCGGGAGCGACAATCAGCTGGGACCCTTTTGAACTTGCATTGTCTATTCTGAGTGTGTGTTTTTGTGACCTTAAGCGAAGTTGATGTGTGTGTGTGTGTCTGGTTGTTTAATTTACGGGGGAATATGTGCCTGGTGTGACTTTCCTGGTGTGTCTTTCCTCGCAGCAGGTCAGATATCTGCGGTTTTCTAATTGGGTCTTGTGCTTTTATCTTCCTCACGCTCAAGTGTCCCTTAAAACTCTCAACCAGAACAAGCCGGACAGAACTCTTACATTTTAGTAAAAAAAAAAAAAAGTACCTGTTTGCTTTTCTCTTCTTCTTGTGCTTGAAGAAACTCTTCCTCTATCTCCTTGAACAGACCCACCTCTTCACAGTTCTGCAAAAATCGTGTTGGCGTCGGAGTCTGGTCTGGAAGGATGACAAACAAATGCATAAACAAAAGAAGAGAAGTTGGAAAACCATGCAAACATTTTTGTATCACTGAGTTTTTTAGTCTTCCCACTTTCAGCTTATTTACTTTCTAAATCCACTTTTCGCCCGAGCGGCAACGCCGGGAGAGGAACCAAGTCTCCTCTCAGCGGGGCTCTCTGTCTCTCTATGTGATAACAACAGTCTGTCTCCTTGCGCCGTCTAAACATGCGCGGGTCAAAGGTCAGCTGGACTCTTTGTTTTGACATGAGATTTCCTGCAGGAGGCGTGACAGGCTACAGGACGGACAAAGAGAGAGCGCTGCAGAGGGAGGGTCTGCAGAGGTTAGATGGCATGCTCATGTTTACTTCCAGATGGACAGCTGTTTCTATGGTTACGGGCAGTGTCACGTGACAACTTTTGATCGTGAGTCAGGACCGCGGCGGTGCAACGGAAAAGGTCTTTGCTGAGTGAAACAGGATTGGTTTCATCAAACCTCTGTTGCTTTAAAATAGCTGTTTTATTTTCCCAGAGGTGTTAAAAGGACAGCATTGCTAACTCCCCGCTATGTGCGGTGCACACGTATAGTCAACGTCAACTATAGTTTTGCAGTTCTAATATATAAAACAGCATTTAGACAATCGGGGCACAACCTCTTCCCATTAAACACCATGATAATTAAATCATTTTTTTTATTAGCTTATTAGAATCAGGAGGAGCCATTTGTGTGGGATAAATGAGAAATGGAAAAAGATGGGGAATTTACTTTTTACAGCTTTTGCGATTTTGTGTAATTCGAATGACAAAACTATTGTAATAGTGTGATTCCTTCAGAGAGAAAACCTGCTTCACTGTATTATGTACCTGTACATAAACCACTGGTGTGGCAATAAACAATACAGTCCATCTGATATTGGTAAATATTTGTGCATTTAATTTACTCAATGCTTAGTTGGTGTTATTTGCAAATGCAGACAAGTCGGTTTTAACTGATGTTATTATCGGCATGTTCGGTCTAATCTGATGGTGTACTGTACATGTTTCAACATGAGCGGCTCTGTTTCACAACACAAATGATCTGAAACCTGTATCGAGCTTATCTGCTTTCATACTGTATAACTAGCATCATCTTTTTTTCATCAAGCAATGGTCCTGAAAAGAGGTCGACACACACACACACAGACACACACATGTACAAAAGCTGAACTGTGACATACAGCATATCTAAGTAGTGAAATGAAGAAGATTATATGCGGTTATGGGGAGATGAGCGGATACACAAGCTCAAGTAGCTCTTGGTGGACGTGGGAGTGCGAACGGGCCAAAAGTTGTTATTTTCTCTTTTTAGGGGGGATTCTTTCGTGCACTCTCACCTGTGAAAGCCGTGTCCGTCTTGATGGAGGAGAACTTGAGGGACATCTCGTGCTTGCGTCTGTGGATGACCAGATGCTCCTCCGAGGGGAAGCGCTGCAAGCACAGCGATAGAGTGAGAAAGATATGAAGCGATGCGGGCAGCTGTATGACACATTGGGACGCGATGTTCAGTTAAAACCAGCTAACGCCTCCCGTATCTGAGCCATCAGTTCCGACGGTCGGAAGCCTGGAAGCGATCTCGGAATATTTATTGCTCCAAATGATAAAACAAATGAAAACTACATTTGTGTTATTATAGATTATCTTATCATTGTTAACCTGGAAATGCATTATGTCCAAAATAAAAAATAAATCACAAAAAAACAGTTTACAACACTAAGTAAGTAATTTATTTCCCCTACAATACATTCCTTGATATTCTTATATAAATAATCTAATCTGACCGTAATTATATATTTCCCTGCAACAACAAAAAAAACAAAAGATGACCAGCTTCTTCGGCGCACGTCTGACACACTCCCTCTGCATCCAACTGACCTGAGAGCAGCTCGGGGCGCCGCACACATAAGGCCTGTCCTGTTTGTCATTCATGTCATCCACAGGCCTACAAAACAGAAGAAGCAAGAACACCCGTTTAACCTGCAATCCGCATCGCGGCGCACACGGCATGCTGGATCTCAGTTGCTGTACGATGCTCGCGGTGCCGCATTTTGGACGAATCACACAGCCAGCTGGCGTGATACAGTCTTGCTCCCAATTATCACGTCCTTATTGCGGAAGTCTTGTGCAGTGAGGTAGATGCCACAGATGACGGACGTTTCACCCAGAGACACGTTGTCTCGGGACCTTCGGTGCCGGCAGGAGAGCGACAGCGTCGCTGTTTATAGCAGGTAGTCATTCTTATTAGGACAAGTGCTGTAATAAATACGTTCTGTTTGTGCATTCATTACTCCTGGCTGGTATCATGTACGCACCAGAAGGGAACCAAAGCTTTTGGTGGTTATTACGTAGGGAAGTGCTCAGTGTAGAGCGATTGAGCTTTCATCTCGTCTTCAGCCAATAGCGCGAGCGTGATGACAGGATACGTGCTTGCCATGCAGGACGTGAAAACGAAGTTGAGTCTTCGGTGGAGATATTAAGCCCGCGGTGGGGGGTAACTGTGACATATTTGAAGTGCACGACTCTGCGCTGACGCCTCATTTTCCACTGAGAGCAAAGGAAGAAGTCTTCATCTCCCCGGCATCTCCGACCGCGTGTCACCATACGGGAGTCACACACTTCATGGAGAGGTCAATGAGGGTCGCGCTCGCTACACCTTTCCTCCTCCCGCAAGAAAACTGAAGAAAGAAAGGGTCGCCGAGAAGACAGCAAAGTGGGTCCTGATGTTGTGGGAAAGAGTGACAGAGGAGAAAGAGGGCAAAAGTACATGCTTCCATAAGAAATGGAAAGTGCGTGTGTGTGGGTTTTTTTGTGTGGGATTGTAGAGTGACATTAGAGTGATGGAGAGAGGAATGGAAAAGGCAGAGAGAGAGAGAGAGAGAGAGAGAGAGGAGGAGGAGACAATGAATGGAAGAGGAAAGGAATGAGGGTGGGAGGAGGCAGAGGGAGAGCTGAAGGCCGACTACTGACAGGTTTGAACCTGTCTCAGCCCCCATTTTCCAAACACAGAGCGTAGCGATGACTTCATAGGTGTGTGTGTGTGTGTGTGTGTGTGTGTGTGTGTTTGTGTGTGTATTACGGTATTGAATAAACAAACAGGTGTCCACGACTCTACAATTTCAGATGGATAAACCACTATCAAAATCCATCGACAAGGATAAGGAAGCGTTTACAGTTTTGCAGGTTTCTATGGAGGTGCACTTTAACAGTGTGTGGGAGCAATGGTATTAGTGTACATTGTTTTATATGTCAGACATTCATGCGTGGATAGATGATGATAACACTATCATCTTCAACACCTTTTAACTTATTTTTCAGCAGCAGTAGAAGTGGAGCAGACTCAGCAGATTTTGAGCAAAACCTTCTGTCAGAGCGATTACGTCAATGCAGAATGACGTCATCCTTAATACACAAATCCCACAACCGATCGGAGTGGACAATAGACAAACACGTTGCAAATGCAAACGGACTTTATTTTTGTTTTATTCTTTGTTAATCTTTGGGGGACAACAGGATCACACGACCTTTTTTCGTCACTTCCTCCTCTCGCTCTGCTTGTGATGGATGACATAATGCACTTCGCAACTTCTAAAACCACCTGCTTTTGAATCATCTGCAAGATCCATCTTAAAAAAAAAAAAAAAATTTAAGCGTCACCTTAACTTACTCAAAGTTGCCATGTCGGATGGGGTGAACGTAAATATCGGCTCAAATTGTGCGGCGGTTCTGAGCAGCGAGTCGTCCGGCTGGATGCGTCTCGAGGACACGCCGGTGTGTGTTTCCTCTCAACGCTCAACCTGCTCGTCCCATAAACAAGCCCGGCACAGCTGTAAAGACAGCGCTGTCACACCCCCCAAATAGACACTCGCACTCGACCCCGTCCGCCTTGTGATGAGACTTCACCGGGGACAACAAACCCCAAACTTCCCTCTCAACTTTACAGTAATAGACCGTAAAAAAAAAGAAAGAAAAAAGAAAAGCGATTAAATGTAAATGTAACAGTCGGTGTCGGCGTCAGGCGAGTTTAAAGTTTTGTGAATGAAAGTTAAATTGCGGAGGCTTACCTACAAGTCGAGAGGGACGAGCGGCGCTCCGGAGAGGAACCACGTGGGACTGGAGCGAGATTACAATACGTTCTATTTACAGACGCATTACATCATTCTCCCGGTGACGTCACGTGGGATTCCTGAACTTCTAAATCATTGCGGTCCCGTACGGCGCGAGGGGTTTGAGGGATTCGGGGGGGGCGGGGTTAAGACACCCTGTCGGTGGGCTATACGGGGACGGACGGGACAGCGACATTGTGGTGGACGCGCAGCGAAAGACAACGCGAGGCGCACGCACCCGCGGCTACGTGACGGGACACGGGGCGGACTGGCGGGGGGAGAGGGGGGAGAGAGGGGGGGGGCGGTGGAGACCCGGCTTTTTTCCTCGCTCACCCCACTTTCGTTCTTCCTGAAATGGGACGTCCCAGCGTCTGCGAGTTTATGCGTCAAAATGAGCAATAGTTTTTCGGTGTGTGTGTGTGGTACTTTTCCGGCTTCTTGAAAAGTATTATTTAAAAAGAACATAATATTCTTGGAGAGAGAAATGAAGCAGTGCTTTGTTCCACTGTGAGCCCGATAAAAAGAATAGTTCAGTGGTGAACTAGTAGACAAACATTTGCTTCTTCAACTAATGATAGCGGAATAATAATGATAATATAAGAAATCCTATTTTCATACTAAATGCGCAGTGGCCCTATGTTTTAATCTCTGATGACCCAATACAGTTGCATTGCCTCTTTAGTATTTATCTAATCAGGTAGTTAACGATCAAGAAAAGGACAACAATAAAAAAAACAGACCAAAATACAATACAACACATTAAAGACATTCAGGTGGCAAACCTAAACAATATACATGTAAAATAATAAATATATATGTGTATTCATAAAATAACCTTTTTGCTGGATCAAGTTTATTTAACTTGTATTGAATAATACAATACAGTCGGCTGATCTGAAAAGACATTTCAATATGGTTCCCCATTTTTTGCAGTGGAGCTTTATTAATAAAATGTCATCACCATCAATCCGTCTGCAGTCACTACACACTGGCAGCCATTGTGTGTTCAACATGATGTCATGAAGTCATGAACAGGACAAAGACTCACACCCCTGTCTGACACAGATTTGTGTAGAGAACACAAAGCATGGTTTGGTTTTGGTAGTTTTGATTTTTAAGTATTCATGCTTATTTCTTTTCTAATGGTTTTCACTGAAGTTACACTGTGGTTGTCTTTTTAAAAAAAGTTTTAAATGCAAATCATTCATACAATGCCATGAATGACCAATGGTCATACAAAATATCCGGAAGGACACTTTGGTCATTCACCTCTCCGCGGAATTAAGAGATAGAGCAACATCTTTGCCATATTTGGTCCGTCTCTCCGGCGGTACAGTCGAGCTGGAGCTCGACAGAGGGATCTGTTTTTGTTGTGGTTGAGGAGCAAAATGGGACCAAGCCCCGCTGACTCATCATCCACCAATCACATTAGCCATGCAAATGCCGCCAACAAGAAGAAACAGGAAGTTGTGATGATGTCACTCTTTGCTTGGAGCTCCCCCCCCCCCCCATGTGTGGATGTGAATCACCGAGCGTGCTCGTCGGTTAAGATATGGGATGTCCGTCCCCTTTAGGAGTGCACAGTCACACTGAAAAGTGTGTGACGGCAGCCAGGAAGTCTCCAGCTGGTGCGTCGGAGCGGAGAACGCCGCCGGAGGTTGCGAGTATACCTCCGTAACTCAGTGGTTAAACCAGCCATTATTAGTGTTGGAGAGGTGCCTGCTCTGAGCCTGGTGCCCGCCTGTAAGAATATAGCCCTTCGGGTCAAAGGTCAAACAAACTTGCTGACCTCAAACCCCCATGTAGCAGTACCCTCACTGTAGCTGGATCACACATCTGCCATTCAGCTGTCAAGCTGTTTTGATTTCATACATGACGGTTTCTGAATATTTCTAGAAGTGAAGCGCAGGGTAATGTGGAAACAGATACATCCAAGTATACAAGTTACAGTCATCTGATGTCGGAATGCCAATTGGCTGGAGTTAAATTAACAGCTCTGCCTTCAAAGGCAGATCAACCCAAGGGCAGACTACTTGTGTACGTGTGTGTTGTTTTATTTAAGTCCGGCCCGCACCGCACAACACGTGTTCACTAGTCGGACGGTTTGCATTCGAGAAAAAAAAGAAGCCGATGCACATAAATTACTCGTTAGTTTGTTTGAAATCCATCCCGAGCTGCCGCATCGTGCGCCGCCCGCAGGCCTCAGATCGGATGACGTCATGCACCTCAAACCGGCCGAGTCTCTCCCTGTTGCGTTTCACAACACATGCTACCACTTCTCATTTACGCAACGGAGCTGGGAACTGCGTCACTGTCACAGCTCTGATACACCGCGCGCGTGTGTGTGTGTGTGTGCGTAATCAGCGTGTTTTTGTTGACTGTGTGTCTACGTGCATCTGAGAGAACATCTGTGTTAGGCTGATGAAGTCACTGGATTTCTATACCACACATCTGAGGACGCCAGGTGATGTTTTATTGTTTAAGTGTCAATGTATGCGTTTGGGACGGTTAGGGTCGCTCCTTTGCAGCTGTGAGTTTATTTCATGTTTTTAGTGCGGCAGCGCATGTGTTTCCAAAGATTGGGTATAGAGGGCAGTCAGAAAACAGGCGATGTGTTCCGGGGTCTTTAGGTTGTTTGCAGAAGTCCCTGGCCGGTGGTTTATGACAGGCCATGTTAACGCTCGATTAACAGGTCCAACACGGGCCAGCCGGCACTGGTTAGCCGACTCCTGTGATTTAAGGACATTCTCCTCTCTCTGGGAGCCACACACACACACATTACACACACATTGTCTCCTCACCACCGAGCCCTCACAGGGCAACATTAACCCTTCAACTTTGGGGATGGGATAGACGCTGTTGTCAATGGGTTGTGCATCTTATGTATTGACGCACACCAACGTGTGCAGTTATACTTTAAAGCAGAGAATCATACCCGGATGACTTTGCAACAGTAATTGTAGTGGCCATTTGTCCTGCAAATCCTTAAATCAAAGGCCACTGGCTGCACCTACTGTTTGTTTTTGTCACGCAGCAAGAGAGTGCGTATTGTCCAGGCAATCGGTTCCTTTTGTTCAGATTTTATTTCCAAAGAAGGCAACAAACACATACAATTGGCTTGGCTGCCTTCCTATGCAGTGCTCTGGCTTGCTGGTAAAAACTGATGTCACCCAGGTGCATGCTGGTCCTACACCTGGCTATGCCCTTAAATAACCCCCAGGTGCCCACAGTATTTAGCAATTAATTAGTGGTCCGATTACCCAAACAATGAACCAAAACTACACATACTTAGTGACAAAATGATTAAACCAAATACAAAAGGCTATCTTAATACTATATCAACAAACAATACTATTTAAGAATAAATAACTAAATAATAGCTCATACAGTGATGAACAGATCATGATCATTTTCAAAGATACCGACAATTCAAATTATATTTTTTTCCGTTTTGAAGCAGTTTGAAGTCAAAGCGGATGTTTTATAAACATCTCAAATACTTACACGGTAACTATTCAAACTATAATTATACATTTCATCTACTTAAACAATTAGAAGTGATTACCTGAAGCATGACATACATTGACATGGAATTTGAGCAGAAGAGCTTTTCCCATAACAGATTACTCGAGTGAATGTTTGAGGGAAAAAATGGCTAACTATTCACCCTGATGAGTATAAAGACAAGAATTTTGAATGTCAGCACATGTCCAGATCACAAGATGTTATTTTGGGATTGTGACGTTGCCACTAAGGGACTCTGGGACGGCAGTTTGGTTCCTCCCCCCGACCATATCCACGCGGTATTTATGTGACCGCTCAGGCCAAGCTGTAAGATCCGTGGGATTTTTCTTGTAATGTTTTATTACAGCGCGGTGCCAAAATGAAGCAGCTTTGGGACAAATGTACAGTAACTCACCTGTTACAGGTTGTTTACAGGATGAACATTTGTGCTAATTCCTGGTAACAGTCATTTGGCCATCTATCATCAACAACTATAATAGATCAAATGAATTGTCTGAATTACGTTTTTTGGGCAGACTTTTATTTATTCCATTATTATTTGTTCCACCAGTAACTCAAATGCTTGGAGTCCAATTTGATGATGTTTTTAAAGTTTGTAACACTGTGAAAGTTAATATGTCAATCTGTCACACACACACACACACACACACACACACACACACACATATATATATATAATAATAATAATATTATATATATATATATATATAATGTGTGTGTGTGACAGATTGACCGTATATATATTATATATATAAATAATATTATTATATTGTATTTGGTGTCTTTATAACAGAAATATTCCATATTATTTCAGTGTGTCTGATGTGATCCATATCCCCAATAATAACGGGACAGAGGGTCGGGGGGCACACATCCCAACAGGTAGGCAGGTCGTGACGTAGGCCAGCCCCCCTTCTCCCGCCGCAACCCCACCCCCACCGTCCCGAGCTGCCTCCCAGTTACGTTCGCCGCTGTCCTGTCTGGCCGATGAATGTCCGCTTACAGCAGTATGATGCTCTCTACTAGAAATTCATTTATTTACTATTATAATTCTGTCTCTTTTCTCTTGGTTTTTCTCATCTTCTTCAGTCTTACTCCTTTCCCACTTTTAAGCTCTCGTCTAATCAGAAGCTGCTCTGAGACCAAAAAAAAGGAGGAAGTAAAGAAACGTGAAGGAAAAAAGTGATAAAGGAAGGAGGAAGAACAGGAAAGAGACATCAATGTGAAAAAGTAATGAAAGGAGGTGACAAAGGGAAAGAGGGGGAGAAAGGAGAGGAAATGGGAGATAGTGAAGGAAAGCAAAGAAACGAAGGAAAGGAAAAATGGTGGTGTCATTAGGATCGAGGAAAGGAAATGACAGAGAAACATAATGGAGACGGGGAATCCTCCCACCTGTCGACCCCCCAAATAAATCTCAAAGTGTGTGAACAGGGTCTCCCCTCCGCACAGACCACCTCCTTAAGTCAATCACAACTACTGATCCACAAAACGAGGCCGAGCTGGCAGTTTGCTGTTAGAAGGAGGAGGATGGAGGTGGTTGGAGGATGAAGGAGGAGGTGGAGGTGGAAGGAGATCTTCCACCAGATGTTGGTGTAGTACCTCGGGTCAGCCAGCAGGGGGAAGTAAAGGTCAAAGATCACCAGAGGTTTCCATCACATTTAAATTAAAATATAAATTCACTTTTCAACACAAACTAGCTCATAACTTTTTGAAAGGTTTTGAAGAATTTATATTTGGATTTACAGAGAAAATATGAAAGTCTGCAAAAGGTAGTAATTCCTAGACAGAATTTTATTGAGAGTATTCAAAACTTTATTTACACATAAAAAACATCACAAGTGTTACAGCATCTTAAAAAATAAATTCTGGTCACAGGCTTCGACGGCTGGAGAGCAATCGGGATGTGAAAGGTATCTACAGATATTTACAATAAGCGCTTCAGCAGAGGAAACTACAGACAAGATGGGCGCCTCAGCATAAGAAACTACAGGACAAGATGGCCACTTCAGCAGAAAGAAAGAAACTTTATATAAGAGATTTTTATAAAAAAA